CTGATTCCCCTGAACACCAAGCTCTTTGGCAAGAGAGTAAAAGGAGACCCCACCCTTCAGGTACCGCTTCACGGTCTCTAACTTCTTCCTCACCGATACAGACTTCCTGCCTGAGCGTTGGCTGCGTGACATGGCAATTTTGAACTCGTCAAAGCGGGATGGCAATCAAAATTTCAAATCATGTTGCCATTTTATCCAATCAAGCACCGCTTCATCGTCAGTGGCCAAACTGACTTTTGTCGTTGTTCTGCACCTACCATATGGCATTTTGGCCAACATTTTCGGGGGTGCAGGAATACGCCAAATACGGTAGTATGCTTGTCGGTCCCCATTTATGGTGGTCTTATACTTATTGCCAGCACTGTAGAGTCAGTTTTTCCACTTGATTCCTTTAGGTCCTTTCAAATCGTCCACCACGCTTGCAAAAAAGTTCACCGTTCTATGGGTTGCAACCCAACTCCCGCGTTTGAACTTGCCATCCGACCGAACGTCATTGCTTGACCACGGCAAGGCGCTCCGTGAAAGGATGGAGCATCGCGAACCACTCTCGCCACTGCGCCGCCTTGCGGTCGTGCAGCCTTTGGCATCTATGGCAAAAACACGAGTGATACAGTACTCCGTCGTATTCCCACGTCCATGTCGGTCGTGCATCCAGCTCGGTGCTTGCTCCTTTTTCGCGGCCACCAAGCGTGTGTGCGGGCGATTTGTAGCCCTCCATCAAATGCTGGCAGTGTCAAATCGAGTCGGGTCCAGGCGTTGTTATTCGCCGAAAGCACCTTGGCAAAGCGTTGGTACAGCAATTGGTGCAGGTACAGGATGTCACAAGTTGTCGTGCCCGACGTTCCCACAACAGCATGCAGCACGGTAGTTGTTACGGGCATGTCGTGCGAGAAGAAATGGCAGCACTCACACCAACGTCAGGCGATGTCATCGACATAACCAGCACAAACTGTAGTGGCTCGTTGGCGCGAGACTTCGCGTGGTGGCGCGGATGGACGGCAACGAACGGCTGGGTAGGAGAGCACACTTTGTTTGTTGCCAACCTAGCCGTCGACTGGAAGAGATGACGTGGAGGGTGGCGCCAACACTGACGGGGGATTTACAATATTTACAACTGCGATACGCGCTGTAGAGCACTCTGCATATACCCAGTACATACCAACCAGGACTCTGGCCTCAACTCGACAGTGCATCCCGCCTCCAACACGGACCAGTTCGACCGCGATGGTCTTTGCGTCGTGCTGTCCGTGGCCAGCGTTGGGGCTTCCAAGCCTGCCTGTTTCAACAATCGAAATACTTGGAAACAGTGATCCAGTACTGCGACAAGTTTTCATCGCTCGGGAACATCCGATGTCCTGGTGTGGGGGGAATGCAGCCAAGAAAAATCCAGGCGTTCCATGTCGTTCCCATCCCCGCACTCTGATGCCCTTAAAGCACGGTTGCCGCGAACAGCCCCCGCCTTCGACTTGACCGCTTGCGACTTCTTCAAGTGTGTTGCAAAGCCCTCCAAAAAAGGCCAGCAAACCCTGTGGGCATAATGTGAAGCTCATACACCCGACGTATGTGGAATGCATAGCAAGAACCACGATCTCTCCAAGCTTGCACGCCAGGATGGAAGGCGCGCCCTTGGCAAGATTTGGAATTGGGGCAAGTACGCTGTCTCGTGGCAGGACGAGCTACAGATGCCTTTCATCGTTCTGGCGTAACTTGACCTCCACTGTTGCATTCATTCAACCTTAAGATTCGAGAAGAGATCGCATGCGTGCTCCATAGAGAACGACTTTGCGTTCACGGCCTTGCTGTCGTGCCGGACAGCACCTCCAGCAACCATCGAGTACGGTCGTCACAGGTGCAGCTTGCTAGTGGAGGCAGCGCCTATGCGTCGAAACTCAGCTTCCATAAATGTCCGATGTATTATCGACTTCACGATCGAGGGTATCCGTTGGGTACGATATCCCGCCAGTATACTTCGTCGCATCCCTCAAGTGCTGCTCAAGGAAGTGTTTTCTCACGCCCCCCGTTGGTGCCACTGCGGCCACGTATCTGAGCCATCTCGTGTGACATGCAACGTCAGAGATCTTTTTGCTCGAGAATAGACGCAGAGCGATTCCGACGTTCAACGAATGCAATCGTGGGAGACCCTGAGCCCGTGTGGGCGACCATGAGCCACAAACTCCACACGGCGGAAAAAGGTGGCCTCTGCGCCGGCATATTTGGACAATTCCTCCATGCGGTCGACGTGATGCCTGCTCGTTCGGCTGTTGCCGTCGCGTTTTGATGCGAGTTGCATGGACGACATCACGACCTTCCATCGCTCCGCAGCGGCGTCGACACGGACTCACGTGACTCCCATGATACACAACGTTGTCATGTCCGTGGAAAGGACGAGATGTGCCAACGCTGCCGCCGTCGCACCGCCAGAGTTGCGACAGTTTCCAATTTGCATGCCGTGATCCCATGTCTCAATTGCACGGGCCGTCATCCGACTGTCGCATATTCTTTACTCACATATAACTATACAAACGACAAGTACAAAGAGATACAGTAGCTCTCCTCATGAGAGCCCATCCCTCAACAGCTTTTGTCGCGTAGCCTGGTATCTCATGCCTACCGACAATGAATGACCTCTGCCACTCGACGAAAGCACCAATGATGCTCAATAGCCGAAAGCGACCGTGCCCCGAGTGGAGCACGCCGTCCACGAAAGCAGCCAAACCGTTCTCGTTTGCCCAACACGCGACCAACTCCTGCGACCTCCCCACGGCCTTCCTTTGCATCCGCCAGTTGCAAGCAAGGACGCTGGAACGATTCCGCCGCAACGGCGATTGGGACACAGCTCGAAATCTGCTCTTCACGATGGAACAGACGCGGCGTGTTGTTGTGCAAGCGCGACGAAAGGCTGTCTTGGCGCGCATTTCATCCGTGTCGCACTTGGCCCGTGCAGTCGTTCAATCTCCCACAATCGCAAGAAAATGTGTGTCCTTTAGTGACGTGATGGTTGTTCACGAAGCAGTTGCCATGGACCGAACCAACAGCTTCGTCGAGGAACCTCCCCAAGCCGACGAGCTCTTACTCGTTCGAACGATGGGCCAACAAGCAACACCGCTGGCAAACTTTTCCGAGTTGTGGTAGTCGTTGGTTGGATCCTTCCACTTGCGTGAAAGATGTTAACATGATGTAAATGGTGAAGTGGTCATGCCGCAGCTGTGTTGCACTGACGAGTCTTGGCTACAGATGTCCACCGAGCTCGTTGGTGGTGGGGAGTGTGCTGTGTGCATGACTCAAAACAACTTTTCACCGCACCGTGCATGCGACGTGGGTGATTCATTACTCAGAACGCATGACTTGGAACAAGGTCACTTTGCCGCTGCTTGTGCGGCTGGGTCGGCAACTCCCCACGTTCCCGACTTGATTTGACTCGATCCGTCGGGGTTGGTCACCGTCACTTCAATCTACAAGCGTTTCGACGTCCCCAGGACACTGATGAAGCCAATGCGACGTACCGAGCCTGGTTTATAATTAAGCGACACCGACTTGGACGGGGCGTTCGTCAGCACTTCCCGCACTTCGATCTTGAGTTCGTCAAACGGAATGCTCTGCAGGACAAGTTCGACGTCTGGCGTAATTTCTCCTCGCGCATTGACAAGTTTTGGTGCCGTGAGCTTCTCGACTACGGACCACCACCCATTAGAACATACCGACGTTGTCGACCCAGCATACCTAGTGGGCCGAAACCACCGGCAAAGTCCAGTACACACACATGCTTTTGGAACTTGTGCGAGTGGAAACCCACTCCAACGCTCTTAAACTTGTTGTCCATCACACTCAACCTGTCCCCACGGGTCGGCACACCGTCATCCACGAGCAATTGGAGCACGACGTTGCGAGGGTGCGATAGCCCAAACGCAAGCAGTTCTAGATTGTCGTCAAGGGGAGCGAGCTCCGACGACGAAGTTACCTCCAATCGACCCTTTCCAGTCGCCGTACTTTTCCAATCGTGCGACCATGGTACTACCGTCTAACAGGCACTAGTGAACGCTTGGAGATCGATCCGAGACAAGTTTACCACTGCCTGTGTGGCTCACAGCGCCATTGTTTCCGAGATCCAGGGCATGGTCCACGGCAGCCTTGGACATATTCGGCTCCAACACCAAGTAGTCCACTGGAGCATGCGACTTTAGGAACACCAGACAGTCTTGCACCTACAAGGAGCAGTGTCACGACAAACGAGCTGCTCAAAAATGGATGGACTTACGGCAGTCGGACCTTCTTCAGTCTGAAGACGAATACCTTCGGAAGGAATGGTCAAGACATTGCCCGCAAATTGCGTTAGCATGGCTTCGAGGTGTGGAATGTAAGATTGGGGATTCGTGCGGACGGCATTTAACTCGGCAGCTACAGCGGCTGCAAAGTCTTCTTCCGACAGTTGTTTGTTTCCAGGGACGTCACCAGGAGGAACAGTGTCCTTGGCAGCCCCTTGCTCGTCTCGAATGGCTTGGCGTGCAGCTGCAAACAACCGATCAATCCGAGCCGGGTCTTTCTTTATCGCCTAGCAAGTGGTCCAACAGGTGAGTCTCCGCTTCGCTCATACACTGGGCCAAACCTCCTTGAGGATCGATGTAAGCGACGCATCGTCCATCGTCCCGATCACATCGGACGAGACGGCACTTCCCATCGTGCGATGCTTTGCGACTTGTCGAATACAGTGTACAGTCGTCTGCTTCGTCGGTATTCGGATATTCATGTTATATTGGTCAGAATAAAAATACACCGAATGATGGGTTAGAAGACGAAAAATGCACAGTATTTTTATTACGTTGGGAATTGTAGCTTCATCCTGTCATTTGAATGAAAATAGTGTAAAGATCGGATGCCGATCGCACTTAAATGGAAATCACATGTGCGTGCATCGGAGGAGAAAATTGATCAAGTGGATGTTGCGGTCTGGTCGCGCTCCCATTCTCAAGTGGATCGTTTGCCCCGCTGGTCAGCGCCGCGCCATGTCCACGTCATCGCAATTGGGCCCGCTAGTGACGACCTCTCAAGTCGATAGCCTCATCTCCTCTGGTCTCGACGTTCGCTTTGTCGATGCTTCCTGGTGTCATGTATCCCCAGAGAGCTGTCCTGTTGACATCCTCCATCATAGGTACCTCGACAAGGCACGCAACGGACTTGCTGAATTCAAGCAGGTATATGACATCGATACTATTTAATCATTTCCACCAACGTCGTGTGCATGCATGTAGGAACGACTGCCTGGCGCGGTGTTTTTTGACATTGACTCCATCAAGGACACGTCTTCGTCGTTACCGCACATGTTGCCCCCTCCTGCAGCGTTTGCATCGTCCGTTCAATCCCTCGGGATCTCGAACGACTCAACTGTGGTCGTGTACGGCGGCTTCAACTGTTTCAGGTCCGACGCAAGCAGCTCTTCATCCTCATCACCGCCGTAGTCCTGCGCGATGTTGGTGGACGTTCAAATATTTTGGTCATGATCAAGTGCATGTCTTGAATGGAGGCTTGACGCAATGGAAGAAGGAAGGGCGACAAGTCGAGCGTGGCGAACCTGGGACTCCCGTGCCGGCGTCGTACGTTGCGTCGCCTCGCCCAGCGCTCGTGTTGAATGCTCAACAAGTATGCGCTGGATGTACCACCATGACGTCCCATCTTCCCATCTCTGGTCCAGATGCTGAAGCTCCTGAACACAAAAGACCAAATCATCGACGCCCGCGGCCCAAATCGATTCTTCGCCAAGGAACCCGTAAGAAGTGTCCATGCGTGCTATTTAGGTTGACGGGCGATGGCGCGCAGGAGCCCCGTCCAGGCATGCGTGGAGGTCACATGCCCGGTGCTTTGAACGTTCCGTTTGGGAAAGTCGTTGCTGCGGACGATTTTTCGGTACCAACCCTTCGTTCCAATCTTCCTGCGAATCAATGCATTGCAGGCGTGGCGCGACGTGGATGAGATTCGTGCGAATTTCGAGGCCAGCGGTACTTCCAGACTGGAATCACAGCGAAGTGTTTTCGAGTCATTCGTCGAGTTGTAGGAGTGCGTCTAGCCGACACCACGTTGGTTGCGACTACGTAAGTCGTTGCTCACTTCCACGACAAAATGGTTGAACGAAACGAATAGATGCGGGTCGGGAGTGACGGCGTCCGTCTTGTCCTTGGGGATGCATCTCCTCGGCGTGCCTTTGGAACGGTAAGCTTCATTCGATGAACCCACGACCTCGAGTCCTGACCTGTTGGTGTCTAGCGTGCCCGTGTACGACGGCTCGTGGTCCGAGTGGGGCGCGAGTGCGGACCTGCCCGTTGTGCAGGACTAGCCATGTCCTTCGCCAGTTGCAACATGGCAGTTGCGACCGAGCAATGCGTTTGCAAAATACAAACGACCACGTCTTCTGTGAGGAAATCCAGTGGCGCTTGTTGGTGGTTCATGTCGCTCAACAGCGCCAGGACGCGATGGAGCGCAGTGTACTCACCGACCACAGCCATGTTGGTCTATCGGTCCGCGTATTGGATGTCGAATGCCCTGTCGACAAAGTCGACCGCGGTCAAGGCGGATGATGTGGGGCAAGATTCCTGTCACCTTGAGGCATTCCATGTCGGTTCTGACTTCGCAACACATTGGGCGTGAGCATCGCCGTGATATAGCCTGGCGGTGTGACGGTGTCGAGCTACATGTATCCCGCGGGTGTCTGGAACCTGACCGGAAATTCCCAGCAGCATCTCCTTTGACGTGACGGAATAACACAATTAACAGCGGATTCCTCGTGTCATGATCGGCAGTTGATGGCACATCGTTCACTACCTCGGACGAGGCTTCCGTCGTCGTCGTACCGGCGGAATTTCAGGACGAAGTACGACCAGCAGCGCGCCGAGGTCCAGGGTCGCGAAAGGAATCCTCTCGACTCCAGTGGAGTGGAAATATGGGGAAAATCTCTTGACGGTCCTCGCCATATACGTGATGTTCCCATCCACTTGAACGGTCGATTTTAGCGGTAAGCGACTGCTTATGATGTTCATGAGGGACCGCTCGACAGTGGGGGGCTGCCCTCGATGACGTTTGTGTCGGTTGGCCCGACACAAACGCCATCGTACCAGGTTTGAAGTCCCTGTATGCGGATGCAAGATCTGCTTACGGATCGTCTCAAGCTTGCGACACATGCCCAGCCATCGCTGCATGATGCAGTCCACTGCATGGGAACCCCCGAGTCCTTGGACGGCACTGGCACACCGGCTACGATCGCCAAGGCGATGGTTCGGATGTCGACCTGTGGCATTCGCGCGCCTTGAGCTTTCTCGATGACCAGCTTCTCATGGCTTTCTTCACCCATTCCCAAGCCGATCGTCTGCGACGGCATGGGCTCAGACGTGCTCTAGGTCCTTGTGCGACACACCTTGAACCTGCCACGGACAGGATCGGTTTGGACAATATGATTGGTGGGTTGGAGAGGACATTTCAATCGTGTGATAAATGACATTTCAAACATGTGACACTTCCAAAGTTGAGGTCTGTAGGATGAGAGCCCAACTGGTCCGACGCCAGCGTTTGCTCAAGGTTCATGTAATCCATGCAGAGGTGCGTTGTCGAAACTTGTACGACCGTCCGTCCCCCGAAGATCCTATCCTCTTTTATACTCAGCGCAACAACATGGGCAGAATTCGAACGCGAAGAGATTCTTCATTGAAATGCGAGCTCAACGGGACCAGCTATCCAAACAGCCGCACACAGAAGCATCCGAATGTCAGGCAACCTCGATGAAATTGGACGAAGTTGCCAACCGTCATGAGAATGTTCCAGCGTATTGTTGCTGTTCCACCCACACAATAACGTAAATATTAAAACCTAAACAAAAAAATTATGCAAATACGTACTTCAAGTAACCGAAATAGAATCTTTTTCCTGTCTGGATGCATGTGTGGACGACACGACGCTGGGACGGCCAAGCAGCACTACCGCGACGGCAAGGCTGGTTTCCTTGTTGAGACAATCTGTGCACACCACTCAACGATCAAACTCACTGCACGATGTTTTCATCCATGAAATTATGACCAGAAGCAGTTCGTCATGAGCTTGTGAATTCCGTGAAAGGCTTAGATCGCGGCCTCCAACACATGCTGCGATCCTTTCGGCGTGTCGACGGTCTTGACTTTGTAGGCCATCACTGGAGTGGCCAATGTATCGTAGATCACACCTCCTTCGTTGGGAGAGTTGGCGCCACAGTTGGTGCCGGCGAGACGGCGCTGGCGCAACTTGAACAACATGTAGGCAAGGACACATACAACCGCCGCGGCGCCAACGAAGATCCACAACGCGACCACGAATGGGGTCATGTTGGATGACGACTTCTCCATGTCGAGGACGGTGGTGACAGGGATCACGAGCGGAAAAAAGCGTGTGGCGGGCGGAGGTGCTCTGCCCAACTGACCGTTCGTTTCGGAGAAACCGAGGCGGAACGCAGAATGTTGTTCGTCATTCCGACCTAGTCCTCGCCGAACGCTCCACTTTCACATTCACAGCGGCGGCACCTCCATGGCCCGCAGAGGCATCCGCGCCATCCGTGGCCCGTGGGAAAGTGCACGCTTATGGGGTCGTACTGGATTCATAACACCAAGATCGCCGCATTGCTCAAACTAGTGAAAAGAGTCGCCACAAAATCCACTTCGTGGACGAGCAACACACACAGCCACTAGAACTTGGTGGGACACGCCATCCCGCATGTATGGAAGTCTTATCCCCCACATCTTCTTGGCGCACTAGTCCCGGTACCATCCGTAGAATTAGAGAGCAAACTTGGTCGACACCGCCTACTCTGTCGTGCCGCCTATTATACGCCCCATCCCAGTGGCAACGACCCGCCTTTCGTGCTGGATGATCAAGCTAGTTTCATCGGGATGGTGATGAAGGTGAAGCTCAAGGCAGACGTATCCAGCAACCTCCCCAAATGCGTGGCTGCCAGGATGATATCGCCTGCAAACTCGTTAGTCTGGGACAAGTCTCGTGCTCATTGCAGGGGGAAAGGCTGCTCTTGGTCCTTGTTTGCGTGTCCCATCAAGCTCTCTCGATAACTGGTTGTACATGCATCAAGTTCATGTTAGGATGATTCTGCTTTTCTCACGCGGGGATGGACTTGGTGGATTTCGTGAAGCCCATGTACGAACAGAGGGATCGCCACCTGTCCCACGGGAACCGCGCGTCATCATATGGAGAATGGTTGTCGACAAGGATGCGACGTGCAGCTGGGTTTTTGTTGCGTGTTTTCAAGGGGTACCCCCCCACTTCGCGTGGCTTTACTATGCCGCCCACGTCGAGTTGGCGCGGTTGGCGACGGGACGCTTTCACTGTCCAACTTGGGGTGGCGGACACCTCACGATGCCAAACAAGCGCTCGTCCACGCAACCCCGACCAAACCCACCTATCGTGCAATGCTACACGACCAGTTGTCCATGCACCATTCGTGGGAATCGATGTCAAGACTCGGGAAGTCCAGACTCACGCACGTTGGGGATAGATGAGCAACCTTGGAACGATCGAGCGCCCTGGCGCGCTCGATCGGTACGTTAGATGTCGCACATCCTGCATTCCGAGGGGCAGCAGCGCGATCCCATCTCTGCTTGGTGGCGATGGCACGGTCACCTACGCAAACCGACATGGGGCGTTTTTCGCAGGAGCTTCACGCTCATAAAAATTAAGTGGCGCTGTGTGTGACAATTGCAAGTGGGATGTGTCGGGCGGCGGCATCCGGATAGTAAAAGGAATGGTACCAGCCACATCTAGCCGAGGAAAGCGAGCACGGTGCAAGTAGCCGGCGGTACTTTCGCCAAACCGAAGCGTTGTCTCGTCCATCAAGGCGTTGCTGGCGCGTCTTGGACGCTCGTTATGGGCGGCAGCACTGCCCACGAACGTCGCATCGTTGTCGAGACGGTGGCATGTTGCAGTTGTGATTCAGATACCATCCAACATCCGGATACGGTGGTGTTGACAGGAAGATTTGGCAGGATAAAACAGCCAAAATTCACAAAACCGTGCGATATTTTACCGAGAGAATGCTGGAAGGTTCAAGTGTGTTGTTGTCCATGCGTGGCATTATTCAAAACGCAATGTCGGTGGCATACTACCCAACGCCCCATTTCTCGATGGTCGAACCATTCCAAGCGAACGGGTTCGCTTCACTGAACGTACAGCGGCCCACACAGCCGCCGCCACGCCTCCACACGAACGCTTCGCCGTCGGTCCACAAGAAACCAGTCGAAGCCAAGCGCCAGTGGCGCGGGACATGCCGATACAAGTCGGGTCGGTGCTCCAACGAACGCACGCTCAAGTTCAACGGCGAGATCCACACCATGTGCGAAGAACACCGCATCCGACACAACAACAACCAACGGCGATCGGATTTGAAGCGTCGCATCAAGAAGGCCCCGGAAATCACAAGCCTTTCGTACCAAGGATCGATGATGCATCTGATGCACTCGCCTTCCGGTACTGCGAGCAGTTGCAATAGCCTGCTACGACCAGCCTTGCAGAAGCAACTATTTGAAGCGTTTGACCTGGCGTCCAAAGGGCATGATGACTCGATGATGTTGTCTCCCGAAGCCATGGAGGCAATCAACATGCTCGACGCCGACGACGACAGCCCAGTTCAACTGGCGTCCTGCACAATGGAATTGACCCCCCACGAAGTCCATATCCTCCACTCGATTCTCGGCATGGACGACGAATGCATGGGTTGAAGACACCTAGAGGGCCCAACAGTGCACTCGTGATCCTCTTCCCCTTTGGACCATATTTACCAATTGATTATTCGCCGATTGCGGCGCGCATGGCCGTGCCAAGAGGCGCGGCTGTAAAGGAAAATCAACGTATTCATTGGTTCTTGATGTCTGCGAGGGTCATTTACACGCGTGTGGTGCAATTGCGCAAGGTCAAGTCGCATCTCGGATGTCGATAAGCCGCGCCAAGCTCGACGTCGCACCTTCCACGTCGCGGAGAACAAGTTATAGTATACACCTTCCTTGTTCAACTTAAAAATGTTGGTGAAGTTGGCAGTGAATTTACTGGGAATTACTCCGAGTATTGTCGGATTTGGGGATTTTTGCGGACTCACTTGATTGGCGAGTATTTCAGCCAATGGAAAATCAGAATGAGAATATTTATCACAGGTACGACGTTCCGATCGAGATTGAATCCTTCGACAAGGAGCGGGGAAGGGACGATGGAGTCGCGCATGCAGGAGCTCATGAGCTCGTACTATGACTTGTCGGACAAGGACGAGACCGTGAGTCAAAGCAAGAACATCAATGCCCCTGGTTTTCTCGTTGACGAATACGTCAAGGTACGGAGTTAAACGAGTGGGAACCTCACACAGTAGGGCGAGTGCAGGATATGTTAGAGAACATGGGAATGGACGAGCTCCTTCGACGAGATGACCAAATGATCAAGGAAATCAAGGAATTGGACACGAACATGCAGATGCTCGTGTACGAGAACTACAACAAGTTCATCAGCGCCACGGACACCATTCGAAAGATGAAGGTACACCCATCGACCCCATGGCACCGTTGAACGCACGGCGACTAGACCAACGTCGAAAGCATGGAATCCGAGGTGAAGAAGGTTGTCGACAGTATGGACAAAATCACAGTCCAGAGCGAAAACGTGAGCAATGCGCTGGCGCCGTATCGGTCCAAAGTCGAGAAGCTTGTCGGCGTTCGTCGATTGCTCAAGCGCCTAGAGTTTATCTTCCAACTCCCCCAGCGTCTCAAGCACGCGATGAAGAACCAAGAGTACGAGAAAGCGACCAAGTACTTTGTCGTGGCAAACCGCATCCTCAAACGATACCAGCACATTGCGTCGTTCAAGGTGGCATCGATCGATGTTCTATGGGTGGATGACCATAAGTTCACGATGGCATAGACAATTCAACTTGAGGCCGAGCACATCATGTTTGGTCTGCGAACAATAGTACAAAAGAAATTCGACGACGACACCACTACAGCGCCGCAAGTCCAAGAATACTCGGCTCTGCTCCTCGACTTAAACGTGTCTGTGGCAGAAGTGCGCCAGCGTTTTCTCAATTGGTATCAGCACCACTTTGACCAGCTCGTGGCCAAGTTTCAAGTGCGACATTCCACGTTTATTCGAGACTTTCGTGACCGTCTTCTTCGTTGGCATAGGACAACCAGCCAAGCGACACGGCTAAATATTTCAACGACATCAATGACGTAAGCAACGGATGAAAATCGCTGTGATTCGTCCACACGACATGGGTAGGCGTTTTTGCCTGCATTTGCCGCGAGCGGGACGGCGTTCCATGCCGTGTTTGGGGATACAGACGTCACGACCACCGAGGCATTTACAACCATGGCGATTATTTGGTTTGAAGGATATGCTTCGCTCTGTGGCGTGCAACTCCAGCGCAACTTGAGCGACTTGGTACGATCACCGTGCCCTTTGTCATGCCACTCTCCTTCGTCATGACGTCATGCGTCGTAGACCTCGGGGGGAAGCGAAGTCGGGTCGGGCGGGTATGGTATCCTGATGCTCATGCTCAAGTCCGTTATTGATGGGATACACAACTTGAACGCCCCATTGCTTCCGATGAAAGAAGTCGTCGCAAGGGCATCGCAACTGGTCGAAGCGTCGGTGCGTGGGCCGCCTTCACATGCAAGTCCACATCAACTACATCGTGCTTAGATTCGCTACCAAGTGGACGCCGCATTTGCCCTGCTGAAGGCTGACTTTGTCGAGAAACTGGCAGCGTTCCACGACACCGTTCAAGGATCCCCGCGCAACATGCCAGGCCTTGCGACCAAGCTCTGCGGTATCTACGTCGATCGCATCGAGCAGAGTCTCCAACGCATGCAGGTATCTTTTGTCTGTCATTCGCCACATAAGTTCGCTCCTTGTTGACGCCGATGGTGCTCATGGTAGCCGCTCATCTCAACTGCGGCCCACGTCTTACCCGAAATGAGCCGCGCACTGTCAGATCTTGTCCAAGTGCGTGGTACCATCCACTTGGTTGCACTAGTGACTCCTTTCTCCATTAGAACCGGTTTAAAGCTTTCCTCGACTGGTTTACTAGCATGATCTTGCGCTTCATCGACCCGTCCGAACCAAAGTACGTAGTGTATCATTCTTGAGTACTGCTTTTAACGGCAACGGGACCAGGCCGAATGAAGTTGCCATGCCAGCCGTCGCCGTGACCGCGCCGTTCTTACTGCTTCTAGCATGCGTGTGCCGTGATTTTAGCACCACGGTGATCCCGCGATGCATCCAAGTGATGGTGGAGTGCCTCCCAAATTTCAACCCGTTGGATCCGGTCAGTCGATGACGTTGGCGTCCCTGGAACAGCATTTCACCAGAAAGGTTACCTTAAGTAGGCGTCGAGTCTTCGGTCGGCTGGAGCCACCGTCGACGTTACCAACATGACCAAACTCGCCAAGGAAAGCGGCCATCTTTTTCTTCATCACTATACCATGCTGCAAGGCGCGCGCCTGACTACCCTCCTTCGCACGTCGATCATGTCGCCCAACTGGCTTGACGTAACTTGCAGCGCGATCCTTTAGCCAGCACAAATTCGTCGTTCATGATAGGCAAAGGAGCCGCGAACGGTGCGAAACGAGATCGATGCAGTCGTCGATGAATGGGTGCGTGTGGTGAACAGCACTGCCGAGGTAAGGTCTTCAAGTCTCCCTGCCAATTGCATGCACGGTTTTTTATCGAATGAAGGCTTTCGGAGATGCCGTACCTGGTCCGAGCCGCACAAATAGCAGTAGCAGCGGTGTGCGCGACCTACGGCGGTCCAAGCAGCCCCGGACCATGGGCAGTGGCAAACAGGCCACGAGCTCCGGCCACATGTACATGGACGTCGCCCGGTTGTTTGCCAAGAAGATCCACATTTACCACGGCCCCGACGTGGACTTCACCATCGACAGCGCCCTGTCGTGCATTTTCAAGATGGCATGCAAAGCGTATGGCGAGTACGTGCGCATGGTGACGTTCAACAAGACAGGCGTCCAGCAGATGCAAATTGACGCCGAGTGGCTCAAACTCACGGCGGCGCTGTACCTGACTTCCGAATCGAGTGTCAACGAGGTCGAAAGCCTGCTCTGTGATGTCGTCACCAACAGCATGGAGCGAGCCGTCGAGTACTCTCTCCTCGAAGAAAGGTACGTGTATCACCACACCACTCGATCGAGTCACAAATCGCTGTGTTGTCCCAGTGTTCTCGTTGCGATTGTCAGCACGAAAAAGGGAACGATGAAAATGTAAAAACTCGACAAACTTTCCAATGAAGATAGAATTCCCGAATTCCCGCGAGGTCGCTCAAAGCCGACTCGCATGAGGTGATGGCACACGTCCGCTTCCCTCGCATCTACAGGTTTCTTGACAGCTAGGGATTTGGTGTGACTGCAATCTCGTGTGTTTGGTGGATGCGCACGCCTCCTGCCTGCGGTATTCCGTACTATCCAGCACGCCTGTGGAAAACCGCCACGACATTCATCTCGATGCAGCCTTTCTCCATGCCACGTGCAACTCCCTCTCGCAGTCGAGGAGCGTGTGGGATGGGCGAGGCACACTTTGTGCTGCCATGCGTCGCGCGAGTGCTGCGACGTTGGAACACTGTGATGCCCACATGACCCTTGCAACTCTGTGGCAACGTCGACACGGCAGATAGATATACACGTTGTGGGATTGGAGTGCTCAAATAGACGGATAAATTACCACGTGCCGTGGAGCGTGCCTTCGCGGTCACGGAAGTTGACCTTGGCCGCCTTCAAGTCCTGGATGCCGACCATGGCCTCGCCCAAGTCGGTCGAGAGCTCCTTGAGGATCTTGGCGTCGCGGAAGTGTGTGACGGCCTGCACCATGGCGCGGGCGCGCTTGGCCGGGTCGCCGCTCTTGAAGATGCCCGAACCGACAAACACGCCGTCCATGCCGAGCTGCATCATGAGCGCCGCATCCGCAGGGGTCGCCACGCCGCCCGCAGCAAAGTTCACCACAGGCAACTTGCCCGTCGCCGCCACCTGCTTGACCAGCTCGTACGGCGCCTGCATCTCCTTGGCCGCGACAAACAACTCGTCCGCGTCCATCGACTGCAAGCGGCGGATCTCGCGCTGCACGGCACGCGCGTGGCGCACCGCCTCCACGACGTTGCCCGTGCCGGCTTCGCCCTTGGTGCGCAGCATGGCCGCACCTTCCGCCACGCGGCGCAACGCTTCGCCCAAGTTGCGGCACCCGCACACGAACGGGATCTTGAAGTTGTGCTTGTTGATGTGGTTCTCGTCGTCCGCCATCGTCAACACCTCGCTCTCGTCAATGTAGTCGATCTCGACCGCTTCCAAGATCTGCGCTTCGACAAAGTGCCCGATGCGCACCTTGGCCATCACGGGGATCGTCACGGCCTTTTTGATCGCTTCGATCATTTGGGGGTCGCTGCTGCGGGCTACGCCGCCGTCCGCGCGGATGTCGGCAGGAATGCGTTCCAAGGCCATCACGGCCACGGCGCCGGCTTCCTCGGCGATGCGCGCTTGTTCGACGTTCGTCACGTCCATGATGACACCGCCCTTCAACATCTTGGCCAGGCCGGCCTTGACGAGGAACGAGCCTTCGGTGGAGGCGGGAGCAGCAGCGGTGGTGGGAGCCATGGGAGTCGGAGGTAGGGGCAAGCCGAAAATTGAAAAATGGTCGAATGCACGTCAACTCCGTCGCCAGTGGGCCCGGCCCACCTGGCCCACTGGCCCAGTTCGGTGGTGGTGGGTGTGACTTGGTTGCCAAATTATATTGCATTTTCCCAACATGCATAGTATTTCCTTGTGAATGGAAGTGATGCATCCATTAAATCTGCTATGGAAGACGAACATGTTTTAATCCTGTACTTGGCTACGATGTGAACCAGGCCCACAGTTCACATCCATTGAAGAACTCGACCCCAGTCATTTTAGGAGTTGTGGTGGCAAACGCGCTGAGATCTTTCCGCCGTTCAAGCATGAAAAATGCGTGGCATAACGATGTCCATCCATCAGTGAATCGAACGAATCCATTCCCCATGCTTGTCCACGTCGTGTAGGTTCGCTCGGTTTGGTTGGAATTCGGTGCACTTCATGTCCAACCGTGCTGCCAACGATGCGATGTTGTAGGTAAGACTGGAAGGCGAATTGTCTGTGTTGTTGACAGAGCTGCTCCAAACTGAGTCCGGTGAACGACAAGCAGACGAGTTCATTGACTACGAGGACCGTGCTTGTTGGCGATCATGGTCCTAGTGATTGCACAAGCAAAGATTTGTTTCTGCGCTCCAACCCACTCAATAGAAGCAGCTATGGAAAGAGCCGGGCATAGATGACCCATTCGCTGCCGGCATACCGGGGAGATGTCAAACTTGCAGCAGAGCAAGAACTACACATGAAGCCAAAGGAATCGCCACGAAGCTTGGCTTCAACCATTGCGTCAAGAAATATATTCCATTTATTGAAAGCAACGCATACGAATCCCAAGCTATTATTAAAACAGAGGAAAAAAATGAGACGGAGATGACCCTCCAACAAAGGGAGCTTCCTTCCCAGCGTTTGGTTGGCCAACACAATGGGCCGGGCCCACTGGCGACGGAGTTGACGTGCATTCGACCATTTTTCAATTTTCGGCTTGCCCCCACCTCCGACTCCCATGGCTCCCACCACCGCTGCTGCTCCCGCCTCCACCGAAGGCTCGTTCCTCGTCAAGGCCGGCCTGGCCAAGATGTTGAAGGGCGGTGTCATCATGGACGTGACGAACGTCGAACAAGCGCGCATCGCCGAGGAAGCCGGCGCCGTGGCCGTGATGGCCTTGGAACGCATTCCTGCCGACATCCGCGCGGACGGCGGCGTAGCCCGCAGCAGCGACCCCCAAATGATCGAAGCGATCAAAAAGGCCGTGACGATCCCCGTGATGGCCAAGGTGCGCATCGGGCACTTTGTCGAAGCGCAGATCTTGGAAGCGGTCGAGATCGACTACATTGACGAGAGCGAGGTGTTGACGATGGCGGACGACGAGAACCACATCAACAAGCACAACTTCAAGATCCCGTTCGTGTGCGGGTGCCGCAACTTGGGCGAAGCGTTGCGCCGCGTGGCGGAAGGTGCGGCCATGCTGCGCACCAAGGGCGAAGCCGGCACGGGCAACGTCGTGGAGGCGGTGCGCCACGCGCGTGCCGTGCAGCGCGAGATCCGCCGCTTGCAGTCGATGGACGCGGACGAGTTGTTTGTCGCGGCCAAGGAGATGCAGGCGCCGTACGAGCTGGTCAAGCAGGTGGCGGCGACGGGCAAGTTGCCTGTGGTGAACTTTGCTGCGGGCGGCGTGGCGACCCCTGCGGATGCGGCGCTCATGATGCAGCTCGGCATGGACGGCGTGTTTGTCGGTTCGGGCATCTTCAAGAGCGGCGACCCGGCCAAGCGCGCCCGCGCCATGGTGCAGGCCGTCACACACTTCCGCGACGCCAAGATCCTCAAGGAGCTCTCGACCGACTTGGGCGAGGCCATGGTCGGCATCCAGGACTTGAAGGCGGCCAAGGTCAACTTCCGTGACCGCGAAGGCACGCTCCACGGCACGTGGTAATTTATCCGTCTATTTGAGCACTCCAATCCCACAACGTGTATATCTATCTGCCGTGTCGACGTTGCCACAGAGTTGCAAGGGTCATGTGGGCATCACAGTGTTCCAACGTCGCAGCACTCGCGCGACGCATGGCAGCACAAAGTGTGCCTCGCCCATCCCACACGCTCCTCGACTGCGAGAGGGAGTTGCACGTGGCATGGAGAAAGGCTGCATCGAGATGAATGTCGTGGCGGTTTTCCACAGGCGTGCTGGATAGTACGGAATACCGCAGGCAGGAGGCGTGCGCATCCACCAAACACACGAGATTGCAGTCACACCAAATCCCTAGCTGTCAAGAAACCTGTAGATGCGAGGGAAGCGGACGTGTGCCATCACCTCATGCGAGTCGGCTTTGAGCGACCTCGCGGAAAATATAGATAGTTTCAAGATTCACGATGGAACTTGGAAGAAAAGAGTTGCAAGTTCAAATTACAAGACCTTTTTGTTGAGCGCGCGCACTGTTTGATGGATGATTTGGTCGAGAAGACCGATGACGGTGAAGACACCGCCGATGATGGCGCACGCGGAAGTGAGAAAGTGGTAAAACGGGACCGACTTCTCCGAAATCTTGACTGACATGGGGCTCAAGTCGTATCGAAACATGATTGAAGGCATGTCGTTCTCTTCCTTGTACTCGTTGCTGTGGGCCGTGTACTTGTACACATTGAGCACGTCCCCGTTGCTTTGGACATACGAATTCGTCACAACCTTGATGTAGTGCACGTAGGTGTGCTCGGTCGCATACGAGATGAACTCGCGGCCTTCAAGCCGATGGGCATACAGGTGGGCATGCGCGTCCTTGGGCAATCGGTTCATTTGGTCGTACGCGACTGGTTCGCCAAACCAGAGCTCGCCGACGACGTGGCTCGCATTGACGACGCCCATTGAGTAGCTCGGGTTTTGCAAGTGCACGTGGAAGTTACCAGGAACGCGCTTAACCATGAGGTGGCCGTACAACTGGCATCCCTCGGCCCCCGGCGCCTTCGCGATGACCACTCCCTTGGACGCGGCTTCCTTCTTGTCTTCTTCATGGAGTTGCTTCTTGCGATTCTCCGAGAAGTCTTGCTCGCCGTCGAACAACGATTTAAATTTTGCCAAAAATGCTTCCAACGTGCGATCGCCGTGGTACATTTCCACAGGGGATATGTCGCCATCCTTGTAAAACATGATCGTCGGATACGCACGGATGAACTGCGATTCACAGAGCTCGCCGTACTGTTGGCAATCGACCGATGCCACACGCATTCGCTGCCCGTAGTGCAAACTCGGCAATGACTTGGCCGTGCGGACAAAGATGGGTTCGAGACGTTGGCACCAGATGCACCAGGGCGCAAAGAAATCCACGGCAACGTAATGGTGCTCCTTCAAGAACGACTCAAACGTGTTGGGAGTGAGAACTGTCACGACCGCGTCCGATTCAGGGAGGTCGCCGTAGATGGAGTCGTCTGCGTATTGCGGCTTGGGCTGTTCTTCCGCCGACATGCCCAAGATACGGCGCTTGGAATCGATGCGGATTTTGTAGATATCGGTCGTCATGTTGTGCTTGCGCGTCCCAGTTTGGTCGCTTACGTCCACCGTCGCAAACTCACACCGTAAGTCGGGGACTGTGATGTTAAAGTTGATACGAAGCATTTCGTCAAGACCTTCGTCCATCACAATCTGGTAGTCGTGCGCTACCGTCAGGTATGCATTGAATTCCAACACAAACAGGATGAACATGATGACGCATCCGATGATTGATAAACTCACACCCGGCAGCGTCGAGACCGTCAAGTCCTACAAGCACAATCGACGGCGCATCAGGGCCACGGTCCACGCGCCATCTCTGTGCATGGTATACCGTCCTACCTCTGGCACCTTCTTGTAAAAGTCCCATTTCTTCAGCACGTCCATGGCCCCCATGATGCGCAGTTGTTCTCAACAAGAAGTGGGCGGTCCAAAAGCACTTGGGATACGTGGCCGCCTCCTTATTGGCTGCTGTATTTCCTTCGACAATGGATGAATATCAAATTAAACAGGCCATCGCCGACCTGTCCGGATAGGTGTTTCCGAACAATTGTGTACAAGTCCCGGGAAACCTCGACGCTTTTGTCGGCTCTTTGCCTTCCTCGTCGGTGGTGAAATATACGACGCGTCATCACATGCAGTGCATTCCCGCGTGGTATTGTTGTTTATGCGAGCAGTGGTGTGTAGATACAGGGATTGGCGATGTCGAATCGGCGGCAAAAGAGTTGGTTCGATCTTGTTCCACATTGAAGCAACGTTCCTCCATTACAATCTGTACCACATTCCACACCAATGATTGCTTCTTCTTGCAGAGTAAGCGAATGCTCGGGATGACGTGGGATGGCGAGGACAAAGGACAAGTTGAGCTGGGCTGGGCGTGTGAGATCCTGGAATCGAGACATGAAATGCATCGTTTTTTACGAGCAGGATGCAAAATTTTGTCCGAAGTTGTAGATATTTTGACGAGCTCGTTGTGTTGTTTTTCGTGCTTTCGACACTGGTCCTCTCCCACAATAGACTACCTCGCTGGACTAACGTCGATCACGTTGGACGACAGTCCTCTGACTACCGCGCTCCTTGCACGACACCCTTCTATCTGCCTACACCACCCAAGAGTACCAAGCTCATGCACAAGCCCATGAGCCGAGCAGCACCCATACGCAATCGCAACAGCAGTGCGGCGTCGTCCACAGCTCTCCGTGAATCCCAAGCGTTCCGCTTGACAAATGCCGATTTTGCGGGGTATGTGTACCGGTTGAGCAAGAAGTGGAAGCGCCGCTTCATGGTGCTGGAAGGTCGAGACTTATCGTATTACGGGAACGAAACGGAGGCAATGGAGCCATCGACACCACCCAAGGGCCGCATTCGGGTTTGTGCCGCATTCCACTGGGGTGAAGTGAATTGCGGGTTGATCATCGTGTCGGCGTCCGGCGACATGTGGAAATGCTACACAGAGATGACGAACACGTCCGAGAAGTTGCTCGTTCCGTTGACGCAGATCTCGGAGGACTGCCGCGCGTTGGCGATCAACATGTCGACGACGATGACGACCAGCGATATTTCCAGCGATGAATTGATGGGAATTCGCCAGACGTGCAACCCCAAGTCCATCGACGACTTCAAGTACAAGCACAACTGCGTGCCGCTGCGCACTCGCCAGGACGTGATGAAAGGCTGGGTCGAGAAGCGCGGGAGCCGTATTCGCAGTTGGAAGCGACGGTTCTTTATCCTTCGGGAAAACCTGCTGTCGTACTACGACATCAACTTAGAAGGCCAACCGCAAAAGGGCGGCGATGTCGTGCTCTCGATCGAGAACAGCACGGTCAAACCGAACGGTCTCGAGTTCAAAATGACCAACGGGCGATCTCTGGTCGGGTTTACTGAAGAGGCCGACGATCACGCTCGATGGCTGTCCCAGCCCTTGCATCATCCCTAAATGCCCCAGACGATCGTCTGCTTTCCGTGTCATTCCGTGAAATGTGGCATTTCAAAATGAATACTATCCAACGAAGTGCTATTAACTTGATTCATATCATGCTTCTTCGAGTCGCTAAACTTGGCTTGTGGCCACGGGGCTGCTCAAAGCAAACACACCGTCCGTTGCGGTGTCGAAGTGGCAATCCAAATCGTCGACCTCGACAACTGGTCGATCCCAGTCATCTTGTAGATCAAACGCAAAGTCTGCCAGTGATGCCTCCGTCTCTCGCTCTGTCCAGGAAGGTGGCCCTGCCGAATGCTCCATGCGGTGGCCAGACACTTGAAGCGCTCCGTTCGCAATCACGGAATGATAATCGTCGTCGTCGATGACGAATGTCGACTCGTCACTGAACCGACGCGTGGTCTCAACATCCTGGACAGCGTCGATACATCGTTGCAAGCGTAGTGTGAGCGGTGTCGAAATCGCTTCCAAGAGGACGGCAGTGCGCGTGCTCTCAATTGTGGCCAGGATCGGACGAATGTCATCTTTGTTGCTACGTCCACAATCTACGAGGTGCAGGTGTGTCTGGAAGTCGTTCATGTATTGCCAGTAGCGTTGAATGTCCAACGACGACAAGAATGACAGCAGGGACTCGCCGTACAGCGCGGACGCGTCGTCGCCACCGCCAAGAACAAAGTACTTTGGACTTCCCTTCGTGGCAAAGATAAACTCGCCCGTCGGGAGGCAGTACCCCACACACACGCCTTGGACACGCATGCGCAGCAGCACCGTCGTTTGTGGATCGTCGGTAACGTCAGGGTTCATGGACGGCGGCAATTCTGACCTGGCCCACCTTCGTCGGCACTGGCTTTGGTGGCGGTTTGGCAGTTTCAGAATCTCAACGCTCAAGTGAGACCTCGTATGATTGGTCAGTGAGACTTGCGACTCTTTTGATTGGTCAATTCTATGGAGATCGCATCGGATTGGCTGCGTCGGAGCACCCTGTCGATTATCGAACATGGAACGATGGCGGCAGGTGCATCCGACGAGTGAATGGATGGCCAGGAAGCGTTCGGTGACGACGAACAGCGTCACAGCAACGAACATGCCATTGATTTGTGACGCACTTTTTATTGCATCGATGCGTGGGATATCATAGTGTCTTGAGGAGCGCAGCGAATTGCTTGATGTCGACGTTGTGGCTTGCTGCCTTTTCCAACAGCGCCTTCATGTCGTGTTTGAGGCTCTCAACCTTGAGTTTCTCCTTCATATACTCTGCTCTACTTTTCTCTTCGTCGAGGGAACTGATCGCAAGCTACCGCGCGTCCATGATGAACACGACTTAAGAGTTCCAGGGCTTACCATCTCGACGAGGAGCTGGCATTTAAACTTGTCCAAGTTGGACTCGTCGTTGACCCGAGCACATTTCTCGCGCAAGTATTTGTTTTCTTGCTCCAGGGTTTCAATTCTTTTCAGCAAGTCGTCATGCTGTGCTTTCGCGGCTTGAAGGTCGCTCGTGTCTGAAATGCCAACCAGTCATGGTGTCGAGCGTCCTCGTCCAAAACGTACCTACGACCCAGTCGCTGGTAAAGTTCAGCGTCATCCCCGGTAAGTTGAGTTGGACCGGGAGCTCCTTGCATTCTTCCATTGTCGCATCGTCCCCTTGGCTCGTGATCAAGTGCCCCAACTTCGTTGCTTTTGCCATCTCGCAGTCGAGAGATCTTGGGAATCTCCGGTTACCATATCCGGATATCCTTGAACTGCCAGTGAACAAGAAGATTTGGTCGAACGCGCGAAACACGGTCAAACTGTCCAGTCTTCCTTCGCCACAAGCAACCCAACGTCTGCCACAGCTGTAGCTGGCGCGCAGTTGACCCCATTGCATATCCTATCACATGCGGTGACCATCTTGGACATGGCCGGCCTCGCCGAGACAACGAACTTGTCGAGGGGATGGGAGTGGACGTGTTTCAAGTACCGTTTGCATGTTCGAACGGTCGAAAGTCCCATCAAGATATACGCTACGATTGAACGAGCACTTGCGGAGCTGCGCGCGACATGTCAATGGCGGGACGGCTCCATCGGATTGCCGTGTGAGAAAGGCCAAGCCAACCCTGTGAAACTGAAGTTGAGACCTTGCCCGGAATAATAAAATCCATCGATGCCAAATGTGTATAGAAATTTCTTATCAAGCTCGAAATTAATTCGGATACATATTCAGGTATCTGACACTCTCGACAACAACAAAAAAACAAGTCGCGAACGCGATCCGACCTCGGCATTCGTGTGAATCCAAGCGCCACACGACAGTGGTGCCGGCCGCCCTTTTTCCATCCCACTCAAGCGCGACGATGCAGAACGACGTGGTGCGGGCAAATCTACTCCAGAACAAAGTCTTTGACGAGCACTGCGACGTGACCGGGCAGCTCCGATGCGCTGCGTTGGTGTTGAGTGTGACAGCGTTTTTCCTGTTTCTGTACATGGACGTATGCCCACAAGAAACGATTACAGTGCTAGCGCTGGGAACGCTCATGCTTGCATGGACAGGGCCGCTCACGATCCTTGCAGGAGCCCACATGCCGAGCGGGCGCTTCAAAGTGTGGCAACCGTTTGAAGGCGGGTTCCACTTTGTGTCGATGCAAGCCGTTGGGTGGTGCTTGACAGGCCTCGTCTTGGCAGTGTGCTTAGTCTACCTCGTCAACTTTTATACCCTGACGCGGTTCGAGGGACAGTTCCTTCTCATTGGGATCGTCGGCTTCATCGCGCAGATGGTGCTCAACGTGAGCTTGGACACATTTGTCGCAGATGCCCCAGTCCCCCTCGTGAACACGCATCCCACGAGCACCACGAAGTCCGTCGTCGCGATTCTTCTCAGTTTGTCCGGGTGCCTCTTCTTCGTCGCGTTCGACTGGCTGCTCCAATCCCCCGTTTTGCTCTTTCTCGGCGCGCTGATCTTTTGCGTGTCATCTGTGGTATTGCACGTCGGGATCGGGTGGTGCGACTTGCCCGAGTTTTCGCTGTGGCAGCCATTCGTCGGTGGCAACGTCTTTATGTTGCTCCAGTACCTTGGCTGGAAGTTCTTTGCGTGTACGCTGGTCAGCACCGCTCTTCTATCGAGCTCCGCTTCGGAAGCGTACTCCGGCATGGCGTCGTGCATGGGCGCTCTCGGTCTCATTTCGCAGCTTCTCTTGCTGATTTCGCTTTCTTTCTTTCAGCCAGCGTCCACGGACCCAGCCATGACGCCCCGCCACCACCGACTTCCAGAAGAATGCGCCGTCTGCGGCATCGTCCTCGTCATGACCGGTCTCTTCTCTCTCTCCCTATACCACGACATGCTACCTGCGGTGTGCCCGTTGAAGCTCCGGCTGCTTTGTTTGATCGCTCTGCTTCTACTCGGTGCGGTGGCCCCTATTGCCCACATCGGAGGCGCGCGAACGATCGCTGGGTACAAGCTGTGGCAGCCTTTTGTCGGCGGCTCCAAGTTTATCTTTATCCAGTCGGTGGGATGGACTTGGTACGGTATATTTGTCGGCTTGGCCCTTCTCATGCATCTCAACAACACCTCGTTTCTCGTGCACTTGTTGCCGTTGGCATGCCTCCTTGGCACGGCATCATGTGCCACGATCGCGTTCTCCATGCTGTTCTTCCGTCCCGATTCTGCCGCTATTGCAGTCGTCGAGCGTCATGGACTCCTCCACCTCCTCCCGGCACTCCTCACCGTGAACATGTCCCCTGAGCTGCTTCTTGGCCACATGCTGTCGACGTCGACAGTTGTCTTGCATTTGGTCGTCGAAGGGCTTCATGTCCATGGTGCCGCGGCGTCGTTGTGTTTAGCCCTGGGACTTCTCCTGTCGGTGCTCGCCATGGCGACGATCCACGTTTCTGGCGGGCGTCACTCTCCCGCATACCGGATGTGGCAGCCGTTTGTCGGCGGGAATGCCTTTGTCTTGCGGCAGGCCCTCGGGTGGACGTTCTTCGCCGTTGTTGTCCTGTTTGACTGCGTATGCATCCTCGCATGGATACGCAACGACGATGCCGTGGCCAGCACGGTGCATGGCCTTGTTCTAGTAGTAGGGGCCGCGTCGCCCATTCCGCACTGGATCTTGGCGTCGTCGATCTCCATGTTCGAAGCTCCGACGACATATTCGGCCACCGCCTGTGGGTCGCCATCCTTTCGCGTGAGCGTCCCTGTTCTGGCAAATCTCGTCCTCGCCGTCGGGTCGATCGTGCTCTTTTCGTTGGCAGAGTGGGGTCGCCTCAAGTGGCAATCACTGAGCCAGGTCTTCTTCATTTTTGGCACGATGGCGTCGGCGACGGGCCTCGCGTGCACCCACTGCATTTGTGGTCCTCACATGCACTCCAACTACCGTCTCGTCCAGCCATTCAAGGGTGGGCTTCGTTTTGTCGTGTTGCAAAGTGCGTTGCGCTCGAGTTTTGCCTGGCTCTGAACTCATACGTGGCTGACTAGGCGCTGCGTGGGCACTGGGCGCGCTAGCGTGGATCGCGTCTTGCACCACATTGTACGGCTTTGCTCATTTTATCCAGATCGATTGCCTCTTCTTGGCGATTGGCACCATGTTTAGCGTTGCCCAAGTTCTGCTGCTTCTCGCGCTATACTGCTTCGAGAACGCGCCGATTGCTGTCCTCATGCAGTCTGCGGCTGTTCACGACGTTGGCCCAAAGCCGAACTTGGTGCTGGGGGTCATCCTCGGTGTCGTTGCGTGCTGTGTATTTGCCCTCGTCGACATGATCCTCCTTCGCTCGCCCAACGGCGCTGCATCCACAGCGATTCCTGCGTTTCCAACAACTGTGTGTGCGATTCTGGCGCTTGTCGCGTCCATTTCGCCCGTGTTTTATCTCCAAGGACGCGTTATCTACCGAGTCTTGGGGTGCACACTCTGGTCGCTCACGATCGTGCTGGGAAGCATTTTCACGTACACCCTGTGGTGCCAAGATGACTCGGCTGACTCGACTTTGCCCCATCCGCTGTACGGTGTCTTGACTGGCAGCCTTGGCCTCCTGACCCACTTAGTACTGCTGCACTCGATGGCATCTCCCGGTAAAACAGCGTTGCTGCCCTGGTTACCCCATACGAACCACCGCATGGCAGTCGCCGTCGGTGTCGTGGCCGTCCTAATTCTACACTTGGATCTACAACACGTCGTCGTCGACTCGTTGACGTCTGTGCTGTTTCACCCGCTGCCGCTTTTGCTCACCGTGTGCGTCGGTAGTTTCTGCGTCGTTGTCATGACGATGGTGCGGCTGCTTCAACCCACGATGGCCGTGGCGTGCCAGTCCATGGATTTTCCACGAGACATCGTCCACCACCTCGCAACATTCCTGTCGCCGTCGGAATTGGCAGCGTTGGCAGCATCGTCCAAACACCATCAAGCTCTCATCACACCTGCGATCTGGCACTCCAAGTTTGTCGCACAGCTCCATGCACCACCCCATGTGTCTGCCACGGTGGTGCCAGTCGAGATGCCCCTGGTTCGACCATCCACGCTCTTTGCCAACACTTGGATCAATTATGTGGAGCGGCTAGTCCTTTCCACTCTTTTTCCAAACACACACGCAATTTGTCGGAGTCCGCTGCTCGTGCCACCAAATATGATGCTGCACTGGCGTCACGTCGCGATGTTGGTTGGTCGCGGTGGGGCGTTTTATCATTGCGAATTCTGCAACGAGTATGCCGTCGTGACACCGTTGCAGTGCATGTGGGAATCCCACCACGTCAGTGACGCTCACAGCCTGTCGACGTGGGTTGCGTCGCCCTGCAGCTGCCTTCATGAGGTAACCCAAACACGCAAGATGGCGCATCGGACGTGCCTCGAGCGCTGCCGCGCGTCTATTTGTGGATGCGCCCCTCCTCCACGCACCGATTCTACCCAAGACACCCTCCAACCTGCGCTCCGCACGCCAGTGACTGTGTCCGAGTTCCTCGCCATTGCTGTGTTTACTCGTCGGTTTGTCGTGTCGGCGAGTCCATCGGTTGCCGTGTGTGCGATGTCGGTGCTGCTCTGTGGGTCGCTCTCCGGTCTTGTCACGTGGACGGGGGGCATCGCGATCTTAGGAGCGATTGTGCGCTCGGTAGATTTTGACCGCGCCGTCGAGCAAATTTGGATCGACCCGCCGGCCTTTCCTGTCTACATTCGGATCATCAACACGCTAGGATTGTCGAGTTTTGTGCAGCTCGTGTCGGCACTGTGGATCGATCCGTCCGTGCCGCTCCAAGTCGCATTCGCCATCAACACAATGCTGTTTGTCGTGATGACGGTGACGACTGGCCTCGTGTTTTGGAAAGCCAACACGTACCTTCTCACGTACACGTCCCCAACGAACACGACCGCCGCCGTCGCGAGCCATCCCTCGCCTCGACGCTCGTGTGTTTTGTGTCGCTTGCACCTGTGTCGAATCACGTCCGCTTCAGTGCGTGATCCGCCCCACGAATTTTAGCGGTGGCACGCATGACCACGGGAGCCAACCAACGAGGAAGAGTGCCATGACGGCCACACGTTGTTAGGACGTCCGCCGTCGTGTGTGATTAACTTAATTCAATAAAATACGAGTGATGCTAACAACGAGGGCGTGTTGCAGGAGCTCTTTGCGTTTCCCAAAGTCGGGTTCAGGCATGTAATGGCGCGGGTACTGCAGGATGGCCAAAATTGTTTCAAATTCAGACTCGAGGATGACGTCCTTGAGCTCTTCGAGCACGACGACCGCAATGCCGCACAAGATGCGATGGCGGTCCAGGTGGTACAAATCCAGCACCCGCAGCACCAACGTCGGGCCAAATGTCTCGAGCGACGTAAAGAGTGTGAGGAACCACCGGGCTGCAAACATGCTGACAGCGACCCCTTGGGTGATGAAGTGGTTGTATACGTCTGGCATCTGCTGCTGTACCAGCACCTCCAGCTACAACACGGCCGTGACTCGTCCGTGGCCACCATGGCGGCGGCCTTACCTTGCCAAACAAGACGTGTAACGTGTGAAAGCCAGGTTCGTATAGCGATTGCGTCGGCGCTGCGTCGCACAGGTTGACAAATGCCCAAAACACCGTTGCTTCGTCCTTTTGATTGTCCAGCAAAAGCCGCACGACAAAGTTCATGCCTTGGCAGTACCCGATGTCGGGATTGAACATCACGTACGCACGTAGGAGCCGCCGCATCGTGGCATGCATCGCATTGCGATCCTCTTCCGTCTGTTCAACGTCTCGTCGCGGACTTGACAGCGCGTGCTCGACCATCGCGGCAACGTCGGTCTCTGGGATTTGGACCAGATCCCATTCCTCTGCCTACGAGCCGACCGTCCGTCATCTTTGTGGTGCACGTTTTCAATGGAATGCACGTACGACATCTTTTGTAAACAGCGTCTTGTGGCATGTTCGATTTACGTCGACGTCAATGTCGTTGAACCATGCCAAGATTTGTTGATCTGCGCGGTCCATCCCATCGTCGAACGAGGCGTCTACGCTTGCCGTCCCTCACGTCATGAAGTGATGCACCGTGTCATACCTTCGTGGGAATCGCTGCCATCACACGACTGGCCGGATGACATCGAATTCACGCGAACGAGTTGGGCAGCCGACCGGAGCAGTTGGTCGTACGATACTCGAGCGTGAAACGATGGATCGCGCCGCTTGTACTGGAACCAAACCCAAAATGAACATCGACATGACGACGGGACTCCACCGAGGCGAATCACACGGTGCCACAACGCTGTCGACCCAAGGAGTTGCCGGCGGGCCACGTGGCATGTTTGGGCTAGTTGGGCCAGAGACACCACATCCAAGTACGAGCACATCGTCACGACCAAAGAAGGCGTCTGTACAACCACGAAGTCAGCTTTGAAGGAAGCAAAAACGACGTACTAATGGCAAGGGGAAGCTGGATAAGTCTACCTGCGCTTCCAAGGGCGGCACACTCTTCTCGTCTAGCTCCCACAGTACATCTTCGACTGCAGCCCACTCCATCGGAGCCAACGCCATGTGGTTCCTCTTCGACTTGGCCTTCAGCGGACTCTTGGGAGTCGTCGGCCGCTCCTGGCTCCACAGGAAATCGAGAAACCACGACTGTCGCTGCGGCACAGGCGACATCGTGCCAACCGATCTAGCCTTGCTCCGGGGACTGAGAGGTAGCGCCGACATCGGTGCAGACACAACCTCTGCCACGTACGACGGCGACGGCGCGCCGACATCCACTGGCGCAACCAAATGACTGAGCTGCCGTGGACTGATTGCGTCCCCATCGACACTCGAGAATTGCTTCGCCAGAGACCGCATGCTATGGGTCGTACTTGCAGCCCTAGAACGCCACGAGGCGTCGTCTTCAGAGTCCGAATCCACCACGAGGTCCGTAGCAGGCGGTGGTACGTCCAGTGCAGACCAGAGCTGCTTCTGGCATCCGAGAAAAAACTTGGCCACGTGGAGCTTCATGGCATCCAGTGCCTCTGCTCGTACGTTGACGTGGTCCTCTTCGAGCTGCAATATGTCCTGCACGATAACGTGCATGTACGATTGGTACTCTTGCCAAGCTTGTTCCATTTTTTCCTGCTTTTGGGGCTTCAGCGGGTCTGTCGCGGCCGCCGATGCAAACTCGAGCTTGCATAGATCGTAATTAATCACATACTTCTCACGGTCGTGTAGTTTAGTACGTAGCACTGCGCATCGTTGCATGAGTGCTTGCACAGGGGCCAATACGGTCAGAGAAACCGCCTGCTCGAGCGCATCTGCCTGTTCCCGCACACGTTGCATGGTGCGCGTGAATGGATCTCCACGTTCAGGCGTGGAACTCGGAATGTGCTGAAATGTTGTGCCAAGGGTGCTGCAGCACGCATGGCAACTCGTGAGCGACGTAAGAATATGATGGTACACGTGCGGGAGCGACTCTTCAATGCGATGAAACGAGATGGACAACGCTTCGAAGGACGGGTCGAAAAGCGACTGCGCAACACCCATCTTGGTCAAAGTTTTGTGCTTGAGCTGGCGCATGTTCATTGCGAGCATCGTGGCCGTCAAGAAATGCTCGGTCGGGCGAAAAAGGTGGCGCCTCGTGCTGCGCAATTCTCTTTTACTTCCAAGAGAATTCGAGCAACGCATTATCCGGATAACTTTACCGGTGCGCACAGAGTGACAAGCCCGTGAGCATCCGACGGCGCATGCCTCCATCCAGGAGAGGAGGATGCGCGGAGCACGATCGCTATCGCCACGCCTTCCCGGCTGCTCCAACTATCCTGCCACCATGCAGGGTGCGGGTGGGAACCGAACACTCATGCACAGGCGTGCGAATTCATTCACATGCAAGAATCGATTGGTTTTGTTGAAGCGGTTCGCTGATTCTAATAAATATTCATGGATCGCCCGTATTAAGGGGTGGTGCTGCCATCGTTGTCGCTGCCAATGCTCAGTTCCTCGTCGTCGTACGTCAAGTACGTGTCATAGCGGTCGGACAGTAGATGCAGTACTGGCTCGTCCATCGATGCACCATGAAACCCGATCACGGTGGAGACATCGGCTGTGCTATCAACCGCGGAATTCGGTTCGAACGCATCTTCATTCCTTGCAAACAAGTCCACGGGCAGCAAGATGCTGTCCAAGTACGCCATGTCTTCGGTGGTGCACATGGGCGCCGCGACTGTGTTGGGGCTTTCGGATCCTTTTCTCCAGCACTCGGCTTCGGTGGTCTTGGTGACGTCGTCATCGTGCTCATCCCACGAGGACGCATGTTCCGAGCACGACGCTTTGGCTTGGTTGAGCCGTTGGATTTCACTCTTGATCTTGGACAGCTCGTCCGATTCGACATCGCGGAACAGTTTCTTGCCGGCGCCTGGTTCGAGGTGGTCAATGAAGGCTGGGTCGACGGGGTCTTTCCATTTGGTGTCACCAAGCTTGCGCTTGAGCTTGTTGCGGCGTTCATCGAGAAACGGTTCGCGCCACTGCCACGGGCATTTGAGGATCGCGAGAGAGCAGTTGGCGCCGTGGATCTTGAGTTCGTCTGGCGTCGCCACATCGCATTCGCACACAAAGTGGCTCGAGTCGACCATAGAGTCGAAGGCAGCGGCCGAAATCCCAAATGCCACCAAGCGCTTTGGTGGACGGTTCAGATCGCTGGGGTGGGTTTTGCCCCACGCCAGCTACTGGCTCTCGCCCCAGATTCACCCGCTGCTTTCATTGGCGGATTTCAATAGATTCCGATCTGATTGGCTGCTGAAAATAGCGTTCGGCCATACGCTGGGGCATTCTCCCCCTCCATGTCCCAGGTTCTCGGCTCGAGCGTTTTATGCGTTAAAGTACTGTCCGTGTGTCGCGAAAACGACGGCGCCGTTCGGGATGTGTTGGGATTCTCTCTGCTATGACATGTGTTGTGTTGTTGGTGGTTGGTGGTGGCTTGGATTTCCACGGCCGGGTGAATGGCAAGAGGATGCTGCCAACTTGGAACTTGGTCGCTATTCCTCCCTACAAAGAATACATAGACTTTCGTGAGTGCATGGCATGATGCCAGTTTGTGATGGGTTTGTGTGATTTGCACGGTTTAGGATGCAAGCGACGGCGAATTGAGCGGAGGATTCATTCAACACTCCAGGATCGTAATGAATCTACTATCACCACACCGTCGCGGTCTGCTTCATGGCGAAGAACTGTTGGGGTCGGAACAAGTCCATGGCTCAGGTCATTCGCAAAGTCTCGAACTACTTACTAGTGTACCCCTATTTTGAGTGTCGACGGCCTTCGATGGACACAGAGACCACCGCCAGCCACCGCTGTTTGCGAAGCCCAGCGACTATCAGATGTTTGCTCGGGTGGCTGATAGGGTGCCCGCCCACACTTCATTCGTCGGCGATATTGTCCGCGGCCAACGTTTTATTGTGAATGGCTGCGATGTGGCATGAGACGAAGATAAACGTGTTCTTGTCAGCATCAACATTTTACATTTCGATTGGCTAATGAGCAGTTTAACTGACTCTGATTGGTTCGTGACGCGTCAATGACTCACATTGATCAGTTTAAACGTTGTTCACCCAGTGACGTAATATACTGTACTCGGGGAGGAGGCAACCAGATTCAACTTGGGCTTCAACAGTCGGCCGCGAAGTGGATGGGGGAGGAGGGAGCATGGGCGGTGAATCATCTTCCCAGTCAGTATATGTAGTCACCAAACGATCTACTGTATCCATCCTCGCGCGTGGTCCAGTTCGACATGAGGCACAGCTGGGCGCCAGTGAAGGGAATTTGAATTTGGTTTTTGTCCCATGTCCTGTTTGACCCATCACCCGTGTCAAATGTCCATCGGAATTTCAAGTTCTAGAAACGATGGGCCTCCGGTGGAACGTATCCGGATAATGCACCAACTGGATTGGATCGGGCAATCTCCAAACGGCGCCCAACTTCAAGATGAACCCACCGCCGTCACCCTGCAAGACAGCCCTCACTTCCAGCTCTGTGAAGACAGACACAGCACCAACGACCGACTCGGCCAAGCGGAGTTACGTCCCTACTTTGTCCACTGCAACAGGAAGCAAGTGTGGGTGAGAATGGTCCTTTGCAGTGTGCAGCGAGTGGGTCGGTCGCTGCCGTAGATCATCCAGACTCTTTCGCAAAACCTACACATGCAGCAAAAGGTATCACTCTCTGCATGAGAAAGCAAAATTCCCACCGCGACTTCACGTTCCAGCCGCGCCTTTTCGAGTTTCGTCCGGTCCAACATGGACTTGAGCTCGACTTCAGCGCGCAGATGTTGCTGTTGACTGGACAGAACAAGCTTCAGCTGGGAGGCGACGTCGGAGCTCTTTCGCTCAGCTTCGTCAACGTGCATTTGCCACTGACTGCACTGATGATGGGCGTCTGCCAATTCTTGCTCAAGATGGATGATCTACTCAGCAGAAAAATCAACCATCATCAAGAGCGCAACGTGAACGGCCATTATTCCGCATACCTTGGTCGCATACATAGACTGTTTGGCTTGAACTTCGAGCAAGTGAGCCTCGATGCGGCTTTTCTCGTCCTTCAGTCGATTCGCACGATGGCTGGCTACCTCGAGCTCTGTCTTGTACTTGGCTTCGACGCGGCTGTGATCGAGGCGCAGCATTTGTTCTGTTTTCGTGGCATCGTGTTTGACCTTCATCACTTCATTTTCGGCCATGTCGAGGCGGGACTTGGCATCACGCAGCTGCTGCGAGTACATGTCGAGCTGATACTTGTGCTTTTGATTCGACTCGTTTCGAATGTCTTGAACTTCGTTCGTCAACAACGCGACTTGTTTCTCTTTTGCCGCGTTTGACTCTTGAGAGTCACGGAGTTCGGCCCGTCGTAAGTCCAACTCGCGCTGTACACTACTCAGTTGTTCGTGTTCGATCGCAAGTTTGTCTTGCAAGTCGGCAAGAGTTTTCTGGAATTGAGCTTCCTTTGCCGCCAACAAGGATGTCGCTCTTGCCTCCGCCGTCTCGGCCTACCCACGTCAACAACACGATGGACAGCTTGTCACGTCACATACATCGGCCTTCAGCTGCTCTGCGACCGCCACTCGTTCCGCGATTTGATTGAATTTCTCCTAGTATGTGCGCAATTGTCCTGAAAGCTGTGTGCAGCACGAAATGCACATACTTGAAAGAGCATCTGGCGCGAATCGCCTTGAACCATGCACTCCTTCACATGTTTTTCCGCGTCCAGTTGCATTCGCGATGCCGTTTCCTGCGTCCGGCAGTGAAGTCGACTCAATAAGCGTTGCAGAACCTTACCAATTGCATTTTCAATGTGACAATTGACGCCTGTGCGTGCTTGATTTCGTCCATGCGATGCTGGATTTCCAAGTCCAATCTGTAGAAACCGAGGGAGTCGTGCCAACGGAGCAGCTTGTATTGGGTGGACGTACTTTCGCCGAACTCTCTCGACCGCGTCGTCGGTCGCTTTCAAGTAGTCGGATGCAGCGATTCGTTTTTGCTCCAACAGCCGAGAAATCTCACGGCGGCACTGCATCTCCTTTGCAATGGCCTACAACGAAGCACCCGACCGCCATGTTTCAACACGATGTCGAAACCATCTCGCACGAATACCTGATCCCGTTCCAGCGCAGCGCAATGAGCCTTCTCCACCGTTGATCGTTCGAGCTAGGACCGCCAAGACCACGCCATTCATGTGGTACAGGATCAATTAAAATGAAGGTGTACCTCAGCCACAGCCTCCTCCCGCGCCGCGTACTCGTTAAGCTGTTTTTCCATGCTGTGCATAACTTTGACCATCCCTTCGCAGTCTTGTTTGACCAGGTCGAGCTCGGCCACAACACCCCGATGGCGCTCCTACTCCCCACGTGACCAACCATTCGACGTTCTTCGATCCTCAACAAACCTGCCACTCGTCGACTTGTTTGTGCTTGGCGTCCAATGCCGAAGTGAGCTCGCGCAGTCGCTCACACACGCCCTGATACCGCTTTGTCACGGTCGCCTGTTTCTGTTCGGCCGCCAGCTTGAGGTTTGCCAACGTCCGCTCATACTCGTCAATTTGTTTCTAAAGAACGACATTCACAACAATCCTATCCAACAACATTTCACGCACGACGTAGTTGGTTGCGTTGGTCTGCAACCCCGTGACGCGACTCGCGATCGTTTCCTTTTGCGCCTCGAGTTGGGCGATTGTAGCTGCAAACTGCTGGAGTTGTACTTCGCATTTTTGCTTTTCGAGTTTTAAGTGGTTACACGCATCGCGCAGTTCTTGGATTGCCACGGAAGCTTGATTGAAATTCTGGCTCATAGTCAGCAGCTGACTGTCTCGCTCGTGAATGTCCCGTTGACACTCTTCCAGCTCGGACTCGACGAGCGATCGCTGCTCGACGAGCAAATTGTTCTCCTGTTCACACGCCGGGATGAGCACAGTGCCCTTTGAACGTCGCTCGGGAGTTTGCTTCGTACGTACGGACATGAGGAAGTCAAGTCGCTCGTTCATCTCACTAAGTTGATCGGCCATTGAGTTGTCGGGGACAGACGTGGTGAAGAAATCGGTCGATCCTCGCCCCCCCGCGGGTTGTTCTGATTGTAATATGAGCTTCTCAAGAGCTGACGTGAGCTCCCTATCATGTCGTGAGTTACCACTAGAAGTGACGTGCATACTGCTGCAAGCGATCGTTGTCCAATGCGAGCGACTGTGCATGCACCACGAATGCGTCCAAGTCCTTCCTGTGTTTCTCGCACATGATGTCCTAAGCGCGCCATGTGGGCATCGCCTTGTTTGGTCTGGAATGAAATCGAAGAACGTACCAACTCTTTGATGCGGCCTTCGTACGCTGCGAACAACGGACTCATGTATTCCTTGGAGGTGAACCATGGTGGTGGCACCATTGATGAATCTTCGCCTTCATCAGTGACACATGCAGTCGTGGGATCGCATAGCGTTTGGAGCTGCTCCAACTCGTTGTGTTTGACCAGAACTCGACGTAGCTGATTCAACAACTTCTCAATGTACGACTTCAAGAACGTGATTTCTTCATGTTGCACCGCTAATTTCTCTTGATACGTCTCCTCCTGCATGCGAAAGTCCACAGGAACGACGAATTCCCTTTCTCTCGCCGGCGGATCCATCAATGGATCACGCATCAGCCGCCGCGACCGCTCTTCCTGCGGCCCGCCAACCTGCATCGCCCCACGGTGTATCTATTCAAGATACACATGATATTCTGTGAAACTTTATTTTTTGTCGAGAACTTAAAAAACAGATAACTACTAGTATTTCTTTAAGAGCAGAAGGACGTCTTTACAGGAATAAGGTTCCACGAAAGCGAGCTGGAAACTACCGTGCATCGCATGCAAATCATCTTATCTCATGTAGCGAATACTCCTTGTTATTTCCATTCGAATCAAGCCATGCTTGCGTTTAGTTGAGAATGGCATGAGATCTCTGTCGCCAGCAACATCGTCGTAGTTGAGATGGGCTATTTTGAACGGATCGATGCTAACAATTTCCGTCGAATATTCGAAAACTAATTTACAATAATATTTTTGTACGTCTGAAACGGCACAACCGATCTTTGCCGCTATCCCATGAGCTTGACGCTGAACCACGCGGAACTCTTCAAGGTCAGCGCGATTTCAAGCAGAGCTACGCTCAAGTTGCTTCCTCTGAGTAAGAAGAAGAAAAAGGTAGCGTTGGACAAGAACGATTCTCTTGGCGGAGCTCTCGTCGCATTGCCGGATCTCACAATGTGTTCTCGTGTGGCTATCGTAGCAAAAACTCGTCATTGGCGATGATTCGGGCGTCGTGTCGTCGTTTCAAATGAAGAAGGGGGAGCCGGCAGTACGTTTTCATCATGCTCAAATGGAAGTCTTGACAAGTAGATGGTGCAATGAATAGTCTGTGTACAAGTCGACGCCTCACGCGAACCCGATTACGTGCATCACCATGGGAAACTTCAAGGGCACCGAAGACCGCGCATACGTGTCGAGTGGGCAACAAGTCGTCGGGTACAACAAAAAGGGCAAAGAGTTCTTCAAATTCCCGACGAATTTGTCTGAAACGATCAATCGTGTGCACTCGTACGACTCCAAGCTGTGGTTGTGTACGACGTTTTGTCCTTTGCGCAATGCTGTCATCACGGGATGTTTGTGTAGCTACCGATTACATTTACAACCAGTTTGAAAACGGCGTTGACAAGGAGACTGTCATGTGCCAAGACCGCATCAACGATCTCTTATTGCATCGCGACGCCGAGTCGAACGAGTTCCACGCCGTGTTGGGCTGCCAAGACAAGTACATTCGCGTCATGAAGGTACCCGACGCCATGATTCCCGCATCCTCCCCATTTCGTTCTTCCATAATCACTCACGAGAATGGATGTCGGGCACACTAGGGCAATACCGTGCTGACCAAGAAGTCGACGTCTGCTGCGATTACAACCCTGACGTCAATGGGGTCCCATATCCTCTACGGCACGGCATCAGGCACGATTGGACTCGTCTCGATGACGGGCGGTGGTAAGATCAAAACGGTGTGGAAGACCGCGCAGGACAAGACGGCACCGTCACCGATCACGTCCATGGTGGCGTACGACATTAACAAGGACGACGCGGTCGAAGTCGTGGTACGGAAGATGCGCATGTGAGCCACCATTGGGACGAGCGTGCTGATTTAGATCGGTCGGGAAGACGGGCGAGTGGAAATTTACTCGGTGGACGAAAGCGGCAACATCGTCAAGGAATTTGAACACGTCGCGAGCGAGAGCGTCCGGGCGATTCAAGCGGGTGTCCTCGGCACACCTGTACGTTTGCAAAAAGTGATGTGTAAGGGGGGTGAAGTAGCACAGCCCCATGATGCCTCGTTTGTGTAACCAGCTCCATCGAGGACGCGGCTCTGAGGACCTTTTAGGGGTACGACGAAGTCGTGCTGTGTACGTACTCGGGGCGGGTCATGTCGCTAACGTCGGAGCCATTGGATCAACCGGTATGCATGCGTCATTGACATATTTGCGCTGCCATCGAGAATGAAAAGGAGCGCAGGATAACGACGACAGCTATGGGCGATCGCGCGGCACGGTGCAGCGTGAAACACGCATCGTGAAGCTGCGAAAGGAGATTGCGGTGCTGGAAGAAAAGGTCAGCTGTTCGATATGTTGAGGCGTGTGTCCAAGCGGTCGCGCAGGTCATGAAGGAAAAGGACAGGTCGACGCGTAAAGGAGACGAGTGCCTTCCGGTGGTGGAGGAGGTGCCGGTGAATTGTCAATGCGTGTTGAATCCTGAAAATCAAACTTACGACATTGGCGTGAGTGAAGTCGTGACTTGGTTACGTTTGGTCATTGCATGGGATCTGGCAGGTCGAGATTCCAGTCCCGATTGCGTGCGTCAGCCTGCACTCGACCGTTCCGTTGGACTTGCTCGACACAGCCAAGAACCAAGCGATTCTGTGCCGGTCGCCGGCCGACCCAGCAAACCACACGCACGTCCTGGCAACGTATCGATGCCAGGAGCTGACGAATCGACTCGAGTTTCGTATTCGAACGTTGGAAGGGCAATATGGCGAAGTCGAAGTACGCGCTCGCTACTAGGTTTGCACGAAAGCGACAACTCACACTTGGTGCGGCATCTAGCTCACGGTGCTGGCAGAAACCGTGCCCAAGTCGGCCCAATGCGTCAAAATCGTTGTTAAACCGCTGAGTCTGCACCATCGCGTGAACGTTGTCGACTCGAAGGACGTGGACGAGGCTGTGATGAACTCGTTGTATTTCACAGGTGCGCTCTCCATCCACTTTGCGCCGCGTCGTTTCAACTAAAACCTCGGAGTAGGCGCGTTCTCGCTCGTTCAAGTGCACGAATGGGTCGCTTTCTGCCTTCCCGACGTCCCTGTCCGCATGCAAGACGACGAAGGAAAGCTCTACTTTCGCAACGCGTTCGTCGGGAATGTCCTAGTGTGTGAATACAGGTACCTCGACTCTGTCGACGACGTGAAGGACCGCACATCATACCAACTGACAATCCATCGTGGTCGTGCGTAGGAAGGGCGAGGCGCGGTTTCTGTCGAGCTCGGTGTCGACGATTGCGATTTTGAAGGAAGTGATTACGAAGGAAGCAACGATCCGCAAGGTCACGCTCAACATGACGTTCGATATCAAGAACGAGAGCACTCCTGCCGTCCTCGCGCTGCTCCGGCCTAAGCTCGATGAGAAGCAGATGCTGGCGTCGCAAGTCAAGATCATCGAAGGCATCAAGGTGCGTGGGAAGGGTGGCCCACACGTGATGATGATGATGTTGGCGCGACGAATGCCGTAGGAGTTGCAAATGCACGAGGCCGACCATTCGTTGTGGATGTCGTCCGAGTACCAACGCATCCTGGCCGACGCCGACCGTATCGTAGCCGATTTCCAAGCGAGTCCCCGCGCCATGAGCTACATCACGGGCGTCCTCACCGACTTGTTCGTGGACATTTCCAAGTTTCGCGGCGTGAACGTACGTGCAGTCAACGTGTTGGAGTACGTGGTGATGAAGGTGTCGGTAGCCCAAGGCTCACTTGCCGCGCCTGTTTCAAATTCTCGACCAGTACAACTACGACGCGCTCGTCGAGTTTTTTACCCGCGCGCCGTAGAGAGCCTCATGCTAAAGAAGATCCACTGAGCACCACGAGTCCCATCTCTATTGCATGCGCCTGATGATGTGTGGTGGAATGACAGCGAAAGCTAGGACGGTGCCGCGAAGACAGTCGTCTGGCACGTGGATCCATCGCGTGCATGCGAGTGGCATGCTCGTCCATCGCGAGTGATGGAGCCCGTCGCGTATTGAATGGGACCGACAGGGACGTGCCGCACTCGTTGTTGCTTGGTTGCTTGTTGATCAAATAAATCTGGACCAAACCATTCCGCTAGTGGCCGGGTCGGCGCGTCCGCACATTGAAGTCTCTATTTCATCCAACAGTTATATATGCCAACACTTTGCTACTATCGTTTGCTTTGGCTCTACGCGACCAAGACGTCATACACCATCGCGCCGAGCTTCTGGAACGCCTGAATCGAGCAGACGAAGCAAATGCTGCCGCTGATTATCAAGAGCACCCATGCGCCGAGCTTGCGCCAGTCGGACGTCGCCTTCTCGCGTCGGATGCGGATGTAGCACACGCACGGCAACACATACGAGATCAAGATGCCGACGGTACTCCCCATGATATTCCACACGACAGCAACGCCGGGGAGGCTAAACGCCAAGAAAAACGCAAGAGCCAAAATCACCAACGTGATCACAATGTGCGGCACGAGAGGAACGGGCTTCTCGGTCAAGTCGGCTGTCGGCGAGTCTGAAATCAGCGGCTGGTGCTCTTGCGTCGTACCACCTCTGCCCTTCGAGATAGCATCGCAACAGAGCATGTACAGACGGTAGATCGTCTTGCGTGTGGGCAAAATGAGCAACGGCAACGACATGCATATAGTGAGGAGGATGCCGGCACGGCCAATGTTCATGACGATGTCGGCTTGGTCGAAGTTGTTGAGGATGTCGCCTTGTACGCCTTGAAGCTGATCAAATGCGTATATGTACCCAAGCGTGCCCAGGATCATGTAAAACACCGACGTCGAGAACACTGTGATGATCACGATCTTCTTGAGGCGGCGACGAGTCGGCTTCTGGAGCTCACCGTACACTGGGAGCACGTTGAAGTGGCACAAGAAGGACGAAATCACAATCGGCAGAGCGTACATGGGCCCGTCAATACTGTCGGCAACGAGCATTAGTTTGGACGAGTCGAACGACGGGTGGAGGATCTTTTCGGTGCTACGGTAAAAGATCCCAAACGCAAATATGCCCACCGTACAAAGACCGATGACGGAGGTGTGGCGGAGCGAGTGCATGCTCCGGAGAAACAATAGCGGCGACACAAGACCGACAACACCCATCGCGACAAGGTTCTCGTCCGAGATAGACAGCCCGCGGCCGAAAATAAATTGCGAAGCGAGCGACCCGGCGATATCCCGCACGAGGATGACGTACCCCACAAACGCCAAAAAAATGAGCAAAATCAACAAAACCATGGTCACGATTTGCATCTTGCGTCCAAACGCATTCCGCGCGATTTCTTCGTACGATTGCGCCCCCGACCGGCGCGAGCAACTCACAAGGATATACGACGTGAAGCTCGACGCCATCGCGCAGCACAACATGAGCACACACCCAACCACAATTCCGCTCTTGGCGATCGTGAACGGCAAGAGGAGCACACCACCTCCAATCAGTGTCGTCACGAGATTCATCACGGCACTCCGAACCGTCGTTTGCCGCGCGGCACTATGAGGCGACGGGTAAAAGAACTCGTAGCTCTGTTTCTCCGCTTCATATTGGAAGAGGTTGGGACTCTTGAGCACCGGGCTCTTGAAGGTGTCGGCGACGTTTACGCTCTTGAAGGACGACCCCGCCATGACGATTGCCAAAGCTCAGGCAAAAGGGACACTGGGTGCACGCTGCATGCCAAACCCATCGGATGCCCAAAAAAAGATTTGACGACTGTGTCAAATCTTAGACTTGGTATTTGTATCGCATCGACCGGTCAGCGTGTTTTTGCAGCGCATTTCGCCGTCCTAGCGTGAAAAAAATCCTTTTTACTTCCACGGAATTTTCGGTTGGGTTGAACTTTGCGGCCACAACTTCAACATGGCAGTGGCGACTGGTTCAAGTCCAAGTGGCGGAAGCGCGACGAACGACCCCCGACACCGCCAGCGCCGCATACCACCTGCTCCAGTGACGAAGAGGAGGATGGGGAGTCCAACGAGATGCCACAACGCCAGGTCCAGTCCTCGGCGAAAGAAGGAAAGCGCTGCAAAGACACGGTTGGGACATTTGTTGTCAGCGTACTTCCCAGTACCGCGATGGGTCGTCGCGTCCAACAATCTGTCAACAGTGGCAAGGTAAACGGATCTGCTGGCCCCACATGGACCATCGATTGTACAGTTATGCATAACCCCGAGCGACATGACGCCTCAAGGCAAAGTGGTTGCTACAGCGGCCGCAGGAGTCTCTCTCTGCGGTTTCCGACGGTTATTGCGAACAAGCATGTGGAAATTTTGATTCGCGAGAGCCACGATGCTAGCAATATGGACTGGAGTTGCTCGGAGGCCATGCCAAAGACCGAGACTCACCGTGGGTGCAAAGTGACTTCGCCGTGCGGTGCTGCTTCCTGGACAACTCAGGTGGCGGCGATTCCACCCTGTGGCAGCTTGCCCATCAACACACCATTGAGCGGATTCCATAATGCCCCTACTTAATTAGTGTTATTTCGTTGGAAGGTGTACCAAATGATAAATATTCATCGATTGGTTGAAATAGGACATTCCTCACGATATCATTGGTAGATTGAATCGAGTTTCCTGCCACTGGAAATACATCGATCGATCGCCACAATCGCCGCACCTGCAATACAATGTTGGCCCCGCAGCAAGAAGTCGAAGTTGATGTGCGTACACGAGAGCGACGAGAGATGAAAACTGATGGAGTGCATGCATGTAGGTTCGAAAGGAAGATCAAGAACGAATCAATGAGTTCGGTCGCAACAACTCGCGACTCGCCGATCTTCGTGACGAATTGAAGGCGCTCAAGGTTCGAGTACCACACACTACCCTGCATCAGGCGCAGGACCGGCTGTGAACTCCTCTTGTAGGAAAAGTTGGAAACGCTGGACGATGCCAACACGGAAATCATGATGGGCGAAGGAAACAACGTCCAGTGCGTCGCGATCAACGGCTGTCGTCGATCAATCACTCTTGTGGTTCTCCCTGTTAGATTGTTTATCGGCGAATCATTCGTCGAGGTTTCAGAAGAAGTTGCCCAGGAGTACCTCGAAGCGCAGACAGAGGTAAATCAAGCCTTCAGTGCCCTATCACCTCCACTTCGCGTCTTAGAAAGCGAATGACGCCGTCGCCAAGCTCGCCGCGGAGGAGACCAAGTTGGAATCGCGTCAAGACGTTCGTATTTCAACCATGTGCGCACGAATGGTGGAACTCATGTCTCCGTGTAGGCATTGAAGAAGGTGCTGTACGCACGTTTTGGCACGAGCATCAATTTGGAAGACAAGTAAAAACCATTTAGTTATCACACATGGTACAATATGTTGTCTTTAAGTTCGTTTCTGCGCCCCCAGCGCCTTGGACTGCTCGTATGCGGCCCAAATGGAATCGGCAATCACTGCGCGGAATCCGCTCTTCTCGGCGCGATACATGGCCGCCGCCGTCGTCCCGCCTATTTGTGTGTGAGGGCAATCCTTCAGGAGTCTGTCCATGGTACCTGGACTCGTGATTTGGTTGCGCAGCACGACGGGATGCTTGCCAGACGCCTGCATGTACAATGCTGACCCGAGCATCGTTTGCTGCACGAGTTTCTACGTCAAACACAATCATCGTCGTGGCCAGCCAAGACCTTTACTGACTCACCTGCGACACAGATCGGCTGAACCCCATGTGAACACCGGCATCGATCATGGCTTCTGCCACCAAAAAGAAGTACGCTGCACCATATTATTCACTCAAATGCACCGCAAGTCGTCCAAAGTGAGAGTGTACCTGGACCAGATCCAGACAAGGCAGTGGCCATGTCGAGGTTCCCCTCGTCGTCGACAAAGATCTCATGCCCAAAGGCTCCCAAAATGCACTTCGTCTAACCACATGGGATCATTCATCTCGTCGTGCACAATCCTGGATGGCCCTACCAGCTTGTGCTGGACGTCGCTCACGTTGGACGACTGTGTCCACACTGTGATGCCTTCTCCGATCATGGCGGGCGTGTTGGGCATTGACCGTACGACACTCACATCCGGGCCCAAATGCGTCTGGTATTCTAACGAGACGTTCAATGCACGGAATGATACACCGACGCACCATTTATGGTAACCCCCGCAGCAATTGAAATGACAAGCGCATCGGGTTTCATGTGCTCCACCATTTCGGGAAAGATCTTGGACAGGATTTGAGTAAAGTGCATGTGCAATCGCCCATGGAGTACCTGCGGAAGCATTTGCGGCTTGACAGCAATCACGACGACATCGGCAGAGTCTAGAGCCTTCTCATTCTCTGCTGCCGTGGGAATATTCATTTGCTGAAACTTCTTGCGGGTCTCTACGTTTGTGGTGAGTGAATTCACCGCCTCTGCTGCATGTACCGCACCTTCAGTCGGCGCGGATACCATCATTTTGCTCGGCGGGAGTAGCTCCTGCACCATGAGACCTGAGATAATGGCCTCTGCCATGTTGCCACCACCGATGAAAGTCAACCGGTTTATGTTCAACGGCTCGATAGTGCTGTCGCTGATATCGGTGTCGACACTTGTCGCGATCTTGGTATACATTGGCGCAAACTCCTTCAACACAGCAGAGTGGGAACGATAGCGAAGTGCGCCTGTGAGGAGCGTCGCGCGCCTGAGGGCTGTCAAGCATGGATGCGCAAGCATGGGGAGGGGAGGAAGTGGTGTCGATGACAACTCGATGGATATGTAATTCTGAAAAATCTCACACAGCAACACCCACGACGACGGGATGGTTGGACACCATGATGTCATGGTTAAAAGAATCGACCATTTTGCCTTGTTTATGCCGAATATGCCACAGATCGCATCCAATGAAATCACTCCAAATGATATCTAATATGGTATTCTAAGATCTCACCCAATTAGATTTCCATAAAAAGTTTATATGAGCCAATCAAAATGTTCTACGACGGAGGACATGAGATGATGAAGAAGATTTGGTCGTGGTTGGCAGGATCCATCCCTGGTGCTTATCCGGATAGGTGCAGAATGGGTGCGAAATATTCCACCTGATGTAAAGAATATTATTACAAAAACGAATCTATTGTTGCGCTTTGTGGGATATTTTCTCCATGTCTCGTACACCCTACATACAACCATTAAGAGAGGAATTAGATTGGGTTTTCGCTTTACTGTACCAGCGTTTGTCCGGATACCGCGATTAACAAATATTCATATATTTCAGTCATAATCGAAGGATGTACGGATTTCATTGGAAATGTCGCGTGTATTCTCTATTTTTCTCATGTAAAATATCTTCACCGTTTAGAGAAGCGACACCCTGCGGACTCGTCCTTACGTTTCTTTGCTTCAAACTTGTTATGATCTTCCCGCGCATATTTTGACTTTTGCGTTCGGTCAATCCTTTGTGTGAAGCTATATTATTGCGATTTGTCTCCTTTTGAAACGACAAAGCATTCGCCAAGACAATTGCGCACACCGACGCGAAACGGCGGTCGTGTGCATAATTTTCTACAGGCACAGCCTTGGTGAGGGGTGAGTCACAACTGTGCGTGCCGCTGAACTCCAATCTTTGCCGAGAGACGTGTCCCGAGAGACACGTTATACATAAGTACGTGTCGGAGGATCGCATTGTCCGAGTGTGGCGTTGCTAAAGGGACACCACACGCGTCTGGAAGATATAATCCAAAGCGTCTGCCGTTCATCTTTCATAGCGGCGTGTCCATACATAGTCGTGCGATATAAGCGATCAAAGCACCAAAAACTACGGGAAGTCGCACAATAAGTTTCGGTTGGAGGGAAAACCATTTACGCTACAATTTGATTAGATGAAAAGATTCATTTTTATCCAATCCATCATGAGCATTGAATCACCGCGCTCGGACATACCAAAATGGTTGACCTCCAACGCGAGATGGAGAAACTGGCGGTGGACCGCTTGGCAACGTCGATGCGCCGCCTCCATGCGGCCATTGACAGCATTCGTGCAGTGAAAATGCATCCATCTATGGACATTGAAACAAAGATTCTTGACATCCTGCCGCCTGTGGCCGATACCACTCATAGCACCATCAGCGACAGGCTGCTAGCCCTTGTGAACGCCTTGTCCGAAGCTATCGAGGATGCCGAGGCTCTCGAAGTAAGCATTCTAAGGCAGTCGTATGTATACTGAATGGACGCGTTAGAGCACTCGAAGCCCTCCTGTAAACCTGCAAAAACCTCGAGCGCCATTGTGCCTATTGAGCCTTCGTGACTACACAGGCGTCCAGGCGGCCATGGAACTCATCCTGGTGTGGGGCGCATATCCATGCGTCGAACATGGCGTACTCACGCCCATTCCACAACGAGTGGTGGCCAAGACCTTCAAGAGTACGTTATGGCGACTGTGCAACCACCCCCGGCCAACTTTCATACATCCTAGTTGACCAGGCCATGGTGCAACACGTGGCGACCGCGGCCTCCAGCCCCATCAACCCGCCATCTCAGCTCGACAACGTTTTGAAGAGTTTATTGCGCATCCTTCTGCTGTCGCAATTCAAGCCCATGTTGCTGCCAGCCTATTTGTCGGACTTGTTGGTGTGCCTAATCGTTCGCATTCACTGCATGCCCGATTCTCCACCAGGCGCAGCGGCAGCTTTGCTGCAGCACCTTCTCGATGCTGTGCCCATTCGAGTCATCATGGCAAGCCTACGCGGAGTTCTCGCGACGCCACATGACAGTACGCAGTTGGATGCCCACCCGTCCTCTCGATCGTCAACTTTTCTAGACGCCGTGTTCAAGGCGCAGTGTGGTCGGCTTCTCTCGCAATGCGTGCTGAAGGATGGTGGCGTGCTCGCGACCATTGAAATGCTCCTAAGCACGGTGGACGAAGGCAACACCCAAGCTCGACTGCAAGTCGCAGCGCTGGTACGTCACACGCCATCCGTTGGTCTGATCGTTACGTGGCTTAGATTGCCCGATGCCCCCGCGCCCTCACAACCACTGAATACTTCCACGCCATCGCGCCACAAGTTCGGTGGTTGCTCACGCATCCAACAACGAAGCTCCTACGCGAGGTGGCGGGACTCATTACATCCCAGTTGATTCTGGACCATCCCATCGACGTTGTCGATGCATGCATCTTGCGGCCACTCTTTCTGCCGCTCCTTCGATTTGTTCTCGAAAGCGAGGACAGCAGTGACCCCTCCGACGACACGGCCATGTCCTTCGTCTCGACGGAAGCAGAGATCGAGGCATGCGTCGCCGCGATGAAATGTACGCTCTCGGATCTTGTGTTGGCACGTTGTGAGCGCCCTCTTGGCAGGTATGGTGCTTGGTCCCGTCCCGCCGACGCCTGTCTTGGACGCTCTCCTACCGCTCTTTCGACCGCTCGTGTACCTCGACGCTTTCGCGCGCACCAGGTCGTTTCCCCATTGGAGAGACCGTTGACAACTCACCGTGTGGCTGCAGCAAATCGTATCTTCATGCTGACACGCAGCGGCTTCTCCTCTGTACGGTCTCTCATGACCCCGCTTGTCTCGCTGATTCACGCGCTGGCATTCTAGTGTTCACACAACAACATCCTGCCGCTGCGACGCACATTGCATCGTGCGTTCTTACCACCGCACCGCCACGCCACGTCGTGCGTGCATCGTTGTGGTGCACGAAGCAGCCAGCGCCCTCCACGTCCCATGGACTGGTGTTTTGTGCTGGGGGCTCCGGTGGCGTGGGGCTGAGACGGGGGCAGGACGAGAACGTCATCGATCATGTCATCGACGCTATTGTCGACCTGCTGGGCCACCCCGATCTGGACGAAAGCAACGTCGTCGTCGGCGAGTTGTTTTCCCATCTCTTGACCACGTACATGCACGTGAGGACGACACCCCCAAGCGAAGGACTTGACAAGCTCGATGTCGACACCGGGAGCATGCGGCTCCTTCTCCAAATCACCGAGAGTCTAGGCCCGGCCGTCCTTCGAAGCGGTGTCGTTATCTTGCAAACACTGGTGACGGTGTTATCCATGTACATCGACGCGGACATTTCTGGCGACGACGCCGAGAACTTGGACGTCCTCAGCGTCGGGCTCAGCATGGCGACAACAATTGTCCAAGCAGGCGCATCGGCGCGGACACCCGATGAAGAAGCGTTGCTGACAAAGATGCTGGTGCCGCTGGAGCAGCTGGCGGCTCATCCAAACGCGCCCATTGCGGAAATGGCGAGCGACTTGAGTCTGCACATTTTGTCTCGGTCGGCCGCTCCAGACGACGGCGCTCAGAGTGCCGTCGTCACATTCGACGACATGATGGCCCGGTCCAACGCCGACTTGCAGAGCACTCAAGTGCCGCTGCGAGCGCGCGGCCTCGCTCGCCTGACCAAGTGGATCCGTCGTCGGAAGCCTGTGAACAACGTCGATGCGCTTGTGCAGCTGTGCATCCATCACTTGACCGACGCGGACAGCTACGTGTACCTGGCAGCCGTCCAAGTACGCCCGATCGCAATGCCATGGCGCGCTCATCGGTGCGAGTAGGCGCTCGCTGGGCTGGGGGATGTGTTTGCAGACAAGACCATTCCACTGCTGCTGGACGCAGTTCAGGACGTCAAGGTTTCGATCGAACAGCGCATCAAAGTCGGCGAAGCGCTCGTTTTTACCGCGCGGCGGTGTGGCGCCATGATGCCCAAATATGGCCGGGCATTCGTGCACGGGTACTTGGGATGCATTCGCCGACATCCCCAAGCAACCAAGATGCAAGACAGTTTGGAGGAAGCCACGTTTCGTGCGAGTTGTTTATCGAATTTGGCCGAAGTAGGATGATGTGGATGTGTCCGTTCGTTGCGTGATTGTTTGTAGGTGTGTGGCCTGCTGCAGTGGGCAATTCACCCGTACATCACGGACGTGGTGGCGTGTGTGCGGGGTATCCTCGATACGGAGCGACTCACGACGGACGCGCACATCGCGCTTCGCCGAGGCGCGGTGTTTGTGCTGTATCACATGTTGCAGGTGCCTCCCGATGGATCCTGTCAATGTCGTTTACGCCTCTTCTGGCGTAGTTGTTCGGGCGCGATATACTGGAAGCGATACCCGACGCAATGACGCCGATCTACCGTCTATTGAAACATGAAGCTGCGTCGGAGACGGACCCGGTGTGTCGGTTCCATGCCGAGAACGGCGTGAAGGAACTCGACACGATCATGCGCGGCGAGCTATTCCATCTGAGCCAGGACGACGACGACCGCCACCCGGCTGGCCTTCCCTCGTTGATATTTCTCAACAAAGAACGTTAATGCCGTCGGAGTGCACCCTTGCGTTGCCGCGACCAACCTCCCCTTGCCGGTGGCGTCGTTTGGATGCAGCTTTTCGGCGCTTGGACGCCGCATCGTTCGACGGCTAAAAATATCGCGCTGTAAAATTAGTCACGGCACGCTCATTGGCTGGATGTCGTATCTCGAGTGATCTGATTGGCTGACGGAGAAAGATCCGAGCCCCAACGGTGGCTTTTCACGTTGAGTCGGCGCTGCAAATGTGACCGACAGAGTCGACGGCCGCCGTCTGCATTTGCAAACGTAGCGCGATGAAGCGAACCATTGAGTATGTGGTTGCAGGCAGCAATGACATGGCGAATCATGGCAGGGTGCTGTTGCCACGCAAGATGACCAGCCTTGCCAGTGGACGTCCTGGTCCTCTTGCAGAAAAGTGCACACCCACCAACGACCTGGACGCGTTGGGGGAAGAGGGTCTCGTGCGCCATGTGCTGACCTTCCTCAACGTGAAAGAGCACCACGTGTGCAAGTCGGTGAGCAAGCAATGGAAATCCCTCGTCGAAACACTGGACATGTTTCGCCTCGACCTGAGCGTGCGATCCCCGCTGCACTCGAAAAACCTTGAACGCGCGCTCCTCTCCACAATCCACAGCTACGCGGACATCCGCGAGATCAACTTTACGGGGCAGCGGTCTCTCTGCGACCGCGACCTGCTCGTCCTCACGTCGTGCTTCTGGTCGACGCTCGAATCAATCGTTGTCGACGATTGCCTCGATATCACGGACTTTGGGCTGCTTGCCATCCTGAATGCGCAGTCCCAGCGCCTCACTAGGGTTTCCTTTCGTCACTGCAAACACATCACGGGCCGCTTCGCCCAGTCTGCGATCGCCGGCCAGCACCCGTCCCTGAAAACCCTCGATTTCTACAACACGCGCGTCGGCCGCAACCTCGTCCAAGGCCTTGAGCGATGTTTTCCTTCCCTCCAACACATCTTCGCCGCCCACACGCCCGCTCACTTTGACCTGTTTGAGCAAGCGCCGTTCCACGACATCAAGATGGAGTGGATGCGCGCCGTGGGCAACCAATTCCACGACGCTCCGTTCCGGCTCGTCTTGGCTGACTTCAACGCCACAGCCTCGTCTGTCTTCAAGTCGTCGTCGCTGTCTGTGTTCGAGCGAACGTTGCTCACCCATCCATCTTCGTTGCTCGACGTCCCTCTCGACGCGGACGGCTACACGTCGGCGCTGCTCTACGCCTGCGACAACGACCTGGACAACTTGGTCAAGCGTCTCATCAAGCTTGGTGCTGCGGTCGATGTCACGGACAGAGACTGTGCAACGCCGCTGTGCCTCGCCGCCGCCACTGGCAGCCTCTCCAGTGTCGATGCCTTGCTCGCAAATGGTGCGTGCGTGAACGCCCGCACTCTATCTCTGGCGACGCCTCTGTACTTTGCTTCAGAGATGGACTGGACCGAGGTCGTTGCCCACCTCCTCGCTCACAATGCGACACCGGACGCCAAGACCACGTCCAACTCGACCGCGCTCTGTGTCGCCGCCAAGAACGGGTCCCGAGCGTCGGTGCATCAGCTCATCCGCCATCGCGCGCGGCGCCCGAGCTTTGTGACGCTCACCAAGAAGGCGACGATGGAAGAGCTGATGCTCGCGTTATGCTTGGCGTGCGAGCGAAGCCACTTGGACATCGTACGCGACCTGCTCGCGTTTGGGTTGAACCCCAACCTGGTCATGGACAACGGCGTCACCCCGCTGTACTTGGCGTGCCAGATGGGACACAAGAGCATTGTGCAAGCGCTGTGCATGCATGGCGCAAACCCCAACTTCCGACGACCGGCAGGTGGCGTGTCATGCCTGTACATCGCGGCGCAAGAGGGCAAAGCAGACGTCGTTCGGGTGCTTCTGTCGTTTGGAGTCCATGTAAACGCGACAATGGACGATCAAAGCGCGGCGTTGCACATTGCAGTGCGGATGGGGCATTTGGAAATTGTCCAGGTACTTCACCAAGCCGCCGACGGAGGCGACTTGAATATGCAGACGCGGTCCGGCCTGTCGCCGCTCTTTATTGCGTGCGAAGAAGGCCATACCGCCATTGTGACGTACTTGGTCGAGAGCCCGTCGTACAAGGTCAATGTGAACCTGCAGACGCACAACGGTACAAGCCCGATGTTCATCGCAAGCCAAAAGGGCTACGACGAAATCGTCAAGGTGCTGTGTGCTGCGGGGGCCAACGTCAACTTGGCAAAGCACAACGGAACATGTCCCATCGATGCAGCTGCCATGGGAGGCCATGCTGGTGTCGCCGTGACGCTCTTGCACCATGGAGCGCGCGTTGGGGGCCTCGCTCTCCACTTTGCCGAGCGACGCGACGACCCCACCATGCAAGCCTTGCTCATGGCGCAGTACCAGGCGCAATGGCGGACCGTACCGCCCATGCTGTGCCCCCCACCGGCAACTCTTCAACTCCCCGCCGTAGATTTGTTTCCGCTCGAACGATGAGCGGGCGACGCATCATGGAGACCACCCCCACCCTTGGATAGACATCGATGGCAACATTGTACCACATACGAATAGACTCGTCACCATCGCAACGCTTCCTTGCTCTGTCTGACGCAGCACGACCAACCATTTCGAGTCGGAGACGCTCTGTAACGAGTGCCTCCGACTCCGAATGAAACCGGTACAAGGCCGAGCCACTCCGACGGGCACACATTTGTGTGAATTCAAATTCAGTTGAATTGGTCGCGAGGGTGGTAATGTTGCTGAAAGCCGGCGCGTCAGTCGCATGCGGGCTGCCCAGCGTCGACAGTCGTCTTCGCGTAAGCAGAAGGGGCCAAGCATGTTGGACTCGCAGCAATTGTGCGACAGGAAGCGCAAACGAGCAACGGGATCGAGTTGATGGCTGGACGAACCAAAGTGCCATTTTATCGTGGCGATTTGGGGTCGGGAAAGGTTGCATCCGGGCAGGTCACTACCACTCGCGCCTTCGTCACAGGGTGGACGAAGGACAGTTGGTGCGCATGCAGCATCATTCTGCCACGATATGTTTGCAGCGTGGTACCCATCTCGTGGAGGGTCTTCCGCGGCGAAGGAACGCTATATCGATGGTCTCCGACAATCGGTGCTTTCAGAACATGGGCACAATGACGGCGTAGCTGGTGCTTCCGCCCGGTGTGAGGACGGAGCTCCAACCATGTAGTCGTCCAAGAGCCTTGATCGGGTCGTGGATGAGTGGGCTTCAATACCTTGTACGACGTTTGAGCTGGTTGACCATCGATGGGTTCGTCGATTTCACCGGAACGACCGAGCGCAGGTGTCCCGTGCACGAGAGCAACGTACGTCTTTTGCACCTAGATACCAGAATAAGCGCGAGAGGGCATTTGGAACGAATAGTACCTTGTTATCGCGGAAGAGAGTGGCCATGTCGGCGGCGGCAAGCCGGGTTTTAGCGAGAAGCAGCACGCCAGACGTTTCTACGACAAGGATCATGCTACAAATTGAAATGGAGTCCACCTTTGTCCAAACGATGCACGAGCTTGTAATGGAGATAGCGGGATGCCACGGAATCGGTCATGCCGGTGCCAAGCTGCGTCGCGAGATGAACTGGTTTGTGCAGTGCAACGAAGAACTCGTCTTCAAACAGAATTGGGAGAGCTAACTCGGGTGGCAAGTCGTGTTTGCTGGTGTCGGAGGGAAGCTTGTTCCATACGCCGCCATCCGTGAGCTCATGGAAAAGCGCAGGAGTCATGCCAATGCGTAGATTGGCGTCGTCTGGAAGGACAAAGCTTGCTTCGACCTTGACGCGACGCTGCGTTGATGCATCAAAGAGAAAGATCCGTTTCTGTGCGCTGAATTAAATGATGTATGCTTTGTGCATAAGTCAGCGTACCTGGCGTAGATGCCGCTGGAAGAAGCTCTGCGGGCGCTGGAAGTTCACTTTTAGCCACCGGTCGAGGCGCATGCGGACATCATCCTTGATAATTGGGAACAATCGCATGGTGTCGAAATGACTTGTGACGTTTCGGACGCGTTTGAAACAATCGTTTGGAACCAGCACTATTGTGTATACAAATGTACAGTTAAAACAAAGGTGTGTTTAAAACAGGACAATTCAAATTCAAATCAAGCCAATCAAGAGCAAGGTATTGACAGAGCACGCGCGGAACGCCGACCGACGCCATCATGAGCATCTACTCGTTCCCGGTCCTCAAGATGTCCGAGATCGTCCTCTTCATTCGGAACTCGAAACTCGGCATCTCGGAGGAGGATATCAAGAACTGCGAACCAGCAGCGGTAACGCACCAATCGTCCCTCGACGCCAACATCATGCACTCCATGTCGTGGGAATAGGTTCGCCGATTCTTTGAAGCGTTCTTCGATGTCATTCTCGACATCAGTAAAGACGACTTGACGCAACCTGCACTCTCCGGGCTCAGTGTACTTCCACACCCGAACCTGCATGAAGATTCCATTCCAGAGTTGGCATTCTTCCGCACGTCCAAGAAGCTGTTGGAAGCTTGTGGTGTCACAGACTTCACATGGCAAGATATTCAAAAACCTAAGCTCAAGCGCCTGCGATACTTGCTCAGTGCGATCATCAACTTTTCAAAGTTCAAAGAGGAGAGGAAACTCCACTTCGACAAGTACCTCAAGACCACGGTACTTCGTCCACCCCCAGTAGCCGAAAATGCCATCCCATTGTCATATTCATCGTTGCAGGAAACCTTGCTTCGTGCCAAGCAGCAAAAGGAGGACGAAAACGCTACCCTTCGACGACAGTTGGAAGAGCTCAAGTACGTTTCCTGAACCACAGACAATGCCGTCTCATTTGGACGGAAACAGGGCCAAGCAAGCCGCGGAAGCCCCAGCATTGCAAGCTGTGATTGATGAATGCTCAGTGATGGAGGCCGAAATCAATGTTCTCAATACGCGGCAGTCCTTGCTGCACCCTGAAGTGAAGGCGCTGAAGGCTCAAGTCGCCAAACTAAACGATGAATTGGTACTCTCCACGACATTCTCTCCCCACTCAAATGACAAACTTGGTGCAGCAATCCCTCAACTTCGACATTGTGGAAGGGAAAAAGACCATTCGAAGCATGGAATCCAAGGTTGTCAACTCCCCTGCCCGCCAAAGATCGGTACTCCATCCGGCATGCAAACACATCTCGATGATGTATGTGCTGGTTCCACAGGAGATCGCGTCACTTGCACAGCAGGTGGACGTTGCAAAGGAAGAAGTGAACGCGCTCGACGGTCGGTCGGCCGAGTTGGACGTTATTCACAGCACAGTGTCGAGAGCTGTCAGGGTATCCTGGTCTCCACCAAACCGATCATCCCATCGTGGCCTAGGACATGGAAAAGGTGATCGAGTTACTCGAATCCATCGAAGCCGACATGGCCAAAGTGGACGTCGAAAAGGAAAACGTTCTAAAATTACATCAAGAATACAACAGCCTCACCACCAAAGCCAAGCTTGCCGTCGCGCACAAAGCTGTACCGATGTTGTCACATGTCGAGCTAGAATCACTGTACGAGACTCTACTTAGCGCGTGGAAGTTTATCTCGACCAGCGCCGCGAGGAACTGGAAGTGGACAAGGCGCAAGCACGAACGAGGATGCAAGCGGTCGAGCATGTACAACATCTCTACGTTGTGCTGGAGTTTTTGTGACGACATTCATGCAGGCCGTGGCATCGGCAGCAAAGGAAGTGGAACAATCGCGCCAGCACAAGTTGGCCAACGAACATTTGGTTGCTGCCAAGCTGCAAGAAGTACAGGAGATGCAGGCCAAGGTACTGCACCTGTAGTCGAGTGCCTACGTTGGCTACCCATGCACCATATTGTGTAGATGAACAGCGACCGCGACGCCTTTGAAAACACGCTCAAGGAGATGGAAGAGGTAGGAGAAAGAACGTCACCAAGAGGCACCGATCCACGTGGTTTCCCCAGACGTACGTGCGTTTGGAGCGCAAAGTCAAATCGTATGCCAACATGGTGGCAGATATCGTCGAGTCGGCGTAATTATTTCGTAGCAAGATATTAAATGAATTGTTCGCCTGGAAATATTCGTGAATTTGGTCGAACGTTCGAACAGCCTTCTTTTTAATTATGCTACCTTTAGTATTCAAATCCAGTTTTCAAATCTTTTCAATTCGTTCGGCGACATATTTGAATTGAACAAAAGACGGTGACAATGTTTGGACGAATTGCGCGCGGCGTGGCGACGACGGCAATCTCTGGGGGTAAGTGGAGAAGGGAGACGGCACATATGGAGGACCGACAAGGGCGAGAGCGTAGGTGTGCCTGTGAAAAGAATGACCACTCTCTCGCATGGGAGAAAGGGATTGCAGGAACTCCTGCAGCGCAACAAAAAATGGGCACATGACACCAAACAAAAAAACCCGACGTACTTTTCCAAGCTCGTGGACCAGCAATCCCCGGAAGTGCTATGGATTGGTATGCCATTACGACAGAAGTCGTGGCTAACGCGGCGCAGGGTGCTCAGATTCGCGCGTGCCAGCGAATGAAATCCTCAACCTTCCACCCGGCGAAGTGTTTGTCCATCGCAACATCGCCAACCAATTCTGTAAGGTGTCTGCCTACAAGCTTCCGCTCTGATCGTGGAATGTGATGATGATGAACGAACAGTGAGCACGGACTTGAATGCGCTGTCCGTGTTGGAATATGCTGTGACGGCGCTCAAGGTCAAACACATCATTGTGTGTACGTCGACACAGAGCCCCGAGTTTTGGCAAGTGAATCGTTTCTTAGGTGGCCATTATGGGTGCGGGGGTGTCCATGCTGCCATGACTCAAAAAGAATTTGGCCTCGTCGACAACTGGCTGCGAAGCATCAAAGACATTTATAGCGACAACGCCAACGTGCTTGGCCGTACGTTGGTTCGTGTAGTTTTCGGGGGTTCATCGTGTGTGAAAGGAATCTCGGATGAGAAGAAGCGGTCCGATCTCCTCACCGAGCTGAATGTTGCCAAGGCCGTGTACAACGTGTGCCACACGCGAATTGTGCAAAATGCGTGGCAGAGCGGCCAAGAATTGCACATTCACGGGTGGTGCTACCGGTGCGAGCGACGCAGTTCACAATCAAATCTAATGTCGTTGTGCCTTGCAGGTTGAAAGACGGGATCATCCGCGATTTGAAAATCTGCATCTCGGGCGAAGACCAAGTCGAGGACATTTACCGCAAGATGCAAGAAAAGGAAAATCCTGAAACCTAAATGCGACGTGTGGAAGCACCTCATGTACCGATCCATGTTGCCAGGGATAGTTGAGCCTTGACGACGAAGACTCGCTTTCGTCGTGGCCTTTCGATGCCACTACATGTGATGCTCATCATGATGCGATGGAAACATGCTGCCGTGGTCCTACATCTGGCGGTGCCATTCGGCGCAGGCAACGGACGTTTGGGTCGATTGGCTTCGTCATCGACTACCATCCTCGCGACCCCATCGACGACTGCGTTTTTGGACGTGGGTCGTGTCGACGCTGCGTTGCGTACGTGCACTGTAGAGGTGCGGGGAAGTTAAATTTTCTACGGCGCGAAGACTCGAAGGAAATTCGTTTGGATGGAGAGCCACGAATTGCTGGAATGCGTCGATCGCGGGATGCATGGGTGCATGGCCCAGTCCGAGGCAGTCGAGGTTGCGGTTGGATGTCTCGAACAACGAACTCAGGACAGTCGAAGCATGCATTGTTCTTTAGGAGGTGCCTCATAGTAGCAAGCCCCAGCGGTAGATCAGCACTTAAGTTTCGGCCTTTTCCTTGTCGAGCATTTTGCGGTAAATGGCTTCGACCTGGTCTTCGCCGGTCACGCGAATCTTGAGATCGCGGATGATCCCGTCCTTTAACCTACATGGCTTGATTGAGATACCAGACAAGGCATTTGAGGACGCACCGGTAGCACCACCCGTGGACGTTGAGTTCTTGACCTTCGAGCCACGCGTTTTGGACAATGCGCGTGTGGCACACGTTGTAAACTGATTTCGCCACGTTGAGTTCGGTCATCAAGTCCTGGCGTTCTTTTTCGTCTGTGATACCTACGCAATGTGTATGAGCGTGCAGTTGAAGAGGAGGTGGGAGCAATATACTCTCGAAGTGTTCTTGGTTCGTAATGTACAAGTCTTTGATGTTGCGGAGCCAGTTGTCCACGAGACCAAACTCCTTTTGCGTCAGGGCCGCGTTCACACCACCACACCCGTAGTGACCGCCTAATGAAGCGTTTAGAACTACCGTCCAAATGATTCAAGTGTTTCGTGGACTCACACACGACAATGTGCTTGACTTTCAAGTACTTGACGGCGTACTCCAACACAGACAAAGCGTTCAAGTCCGTGTTGTCTACAAAGAGGTTGTCGTTACGCTTGGAAGATGTGGTGCTTTGTACGTACTGAATTGGTTGGCAATGTTACGATGCACAAACACGTCACCAGGTGGCAGGCTGAGGATTTGGTTGGCGGGCACACGAGAGTCCGAGCATCCTACGACATGTAAATGAGCTCTTGACACTCAGACGTCGCACTCACCGATCCACAACACCTCAGGAGCTTGTTGGTGTTCCAACTTGGCAAAATACTGTGGGTCTTCTTGCTGAACTTTGGCGGCCCACTTCTTGTTTCGATCGAGGAGCTCGTTCAAACCTTTCTCACCAGTGGAGATGGAGGCAAACGTGCGCGCTAGCATCACACGATCAGTGGAAGCGACAGTTCGAGGGAGGGCGCGATCGTTCTACCTGGGATGGCGCGGATTCCGATGGACTTGGCGACGCGGGTCAGCATGCTCGGATCTTCAGGGGATTTCGAAAACTGCAGGGTGGCGTGGTTTGTTGTCAGCAGTATCCGGATGAAATCGGAAATCGTCAACAACGCCTGGAATATTTTTACCATATTGTTATATCTTGAAATTTGTAATGATTTGAATACTCGTGAGCTGCAGAGGCAGTTATCCGGATGAATGGCGTTTAAGTAACCAACTGCAGGAAACGTGTGATGACGCGTCCGCCTCAACTTGATGACGGGAGGAGCCTCTAAATGGCGGTGGCTTGGAGCTGTCGAAGTGGCCCTGTTCTCCACCTGTCCTCACATTTGCCTCACCGACGCTGGAGGTTTGGAACACCTTGCCGATCAGTTTGCTGTGGGAAGTGTGGATTGCGCCGGCGTCAACAGCCCCGTGACCCTCGCTGGTGATATTTTTCAAGCATAGCAAGCCTCGTATGCGGCCCACGACAATCGCGGCCCAAGATTTCGTCAGGCGATAACACCCCAAGCACGTTCAAGAGTTCGTGGGGGACAAACGTGGCGGTGTCGGCGTGACCCCCCAGCGTCGGTAGGATGCTGACAACTGGAGCAATTAAATGGAAAGCGAACGGGGGTTTTCAAAAATGTCGTTCTTGGGGATGCCGTCAAAGGAGTGTCCTTCGCCCTCAGAGTTGTTGCGGACTCCGATGCGACGACCGAGCTTGGATGAACGTTGCAGGAAGCTGCATTTCGCGGGGGAATCGCCCGACCGTATTTATACTGCCTCGTATCCGGAAATTTCCGGAATTTCCCCAAATCAGGGTGGTTCTCACGTCGAGTTTTTTCGTAGTCGAAACGACGCGATATGCACCACAAAACCAGGTCATCACTTACGTTAATGCCATGGCGTGGGGAGTTGACGTTGGTGGCCCATCTTTCAATGACGCGGGCTTGACGAGAATGCGAAAGAGGACAGAACTGCCACTTGACGCAGTTCGCTCAAGCTCAGATCCCGACGAAGTGATCTCAACTTCGAGGCTCTTGAGGCCATTGTGTCCCTAAACTGTGATGGCAACACCATGCCAGACCAAATGGCTGGCATCCTCCTGTCCTTTTGCCATCCGTGACGATTCTGGACATTGCCAATCCGCTGACGCAAGAAATTGCGATGGACCGAACACGTGCACGGCAGAGTTTGACCTACTGTTGACAAAACAGAGCTGGTGGCAGCTATGGAAGCAGACTGCTCCACGCAATGGCCAGTTAGATTGACAAATATTAATAAAGCACTTTGGAGGTGGACCACCTACCTCATGCCAGGCTGTATGGGGGGAAGGACGAAGCTGGCTTGGCCAAGATGCCCGAATATGGAAGCAGCGACCTCTCATCATCTTCTCCTGGCGGGACTTGGTGAAGAGCGCATCGCGATGTTTTGGAGCACGACGAGTGACAGTTTCTTGGGAGCTGTTCCTCTGCAGTCTTAAATCCGACGAAGCACATGACCAGAACTCATCAGATGCCGCAACTCGACCAATTTTGTACTGGTACCATTTAAGTGTGGACCGCATCTACCACGAAATTGCCATTTTACCACGCGTGACGGCGCCAAGACGAGGGCCTCCACATTGTGGTAAGTACACTTGCCCCGCTGCCTTAGTGGAGGCGGTCCAACTCACCCAACAGGGTGTGGCCTCTCCTTCGCCAAACCAGACAACCCACTCACACAAGTACTAGGCCGCATTGAAATCGTTTCAGTCGACCACAATTCTGTGGCCGATCATATTCAAAAGGAGTGCCTTTGGACGGCAGCACTCTGCTCGTTCCATCCATGCGTAACGAAGCGACAACAATACTCGAGTCGTGGCTCCATCCATACGTCCGAGTTCTAGCGCCATTCAGGATGCAATTCAGATTCTGTGGGCTCATCATTAGCTTCCTCCATCTTCTGCACCATCGACTTTCATGCCACTGACGGTAGCGCCATGGGGATGCCTGACTTCCGCGTGCTTGTTGCATCATGTACGCATGCTTGTCATATCACCGTGTGAACTAGCTGAAAGGATGGGACTCCACCACCAACACCACGTTAGGAAGGAGCCAAGTGTTTCACAAATGCTCCCAGGAATGGCATTGCGTACGCCAGTGTCCAACGTAGATTTTACGAAATATATTTCGACCTGACTGACATGTAAGCCCATCATCCAATGTCGTCTCCGTGGGCATCGTCTTCGTCGCATTCCTCATTCACCATGATCTTTTTCGTCGGCATCACCCAGCCTCAGCGAACATCCATCTCTTGGGCCACGCGCCGACGTTGGCAATGGCTTCGTCAGCTGTGCTCCGACGGTGGGTCACAAAGTAGTGCTGCAGCCTCGCTGTTGTCAGCCGTCGGTCCGGACAGAGCGCAGTCACAAGTGCAGTGGCAAAGTCCCGTCCTCGCTCGCGCGTCTCGCTGGGATAAAACTGCAGAAACATGTCGGCCATTTGGTCCGACGTGGTGTACGAAAACTCGACTTGAACGTCGATGCGGCCGTTCCGAATGAGCGCGTCGTCCAACTGGTGGCGGAAGTTGGTCGTCATGACCAGGATGTGGCCGTCTTGGAACTCGAGTCCGTCGAGGGCATTGAGGAGGCCAGAAAAGGTCAAGCCCGAGTTTTCCATCTTTGGCTTCCGGTCTCTCGTGAATGCAGCATCGATGTCTTCGAGTACAAGGACCGATCGAGGAGGGAGCTCGTCCAGAATACTTCGGAGGTATGTGTCGTTGAGGTTGGGATGGGTGATCTGAAGCATGCACACGTTGCGATTGCAATGGGTCGCGATGGCTTGGATGAGCGACGTCTTCCCCGAGCCAGGGACGCCGTGGAAGAGATACCCCCGCTTGTACGGGATGCCGTGCGCGGCGTAAAAGGCTCTGCAGTTGTCCGTCAAAAAGTCTTCGACGTCATCGATCAAGCTTTCCTTCATTTGTCGCGGCAGCACCACCGAGTCTAGAGGACGCCGTTGATGTGTCTGCACTTCCGTCCACGACCCGTCGCAGAAGCTCCATCGGTAAATGGAGAAAAACCCGTTTGACGTCGCCTCGGCCGCAGCCACGACAGCGTCGACAAACGAGTGCAGCGTGGTTTCTGCATTCAAGTGGCGGGTCACAAGCACGATGTTCTCGAACCGAACGACGTTTTGATATGTGCCGACTGGCTTTCCAACCGACTGGCGTAGGCACTGGAGGGTGTGGTACTGCCACGTAAACGTGTGCAGTCCAAAGCCAGCCAAGACGATGCTTGCGCCTTCCTCGCCGTCGCTGCTGTCGTCCAAGTTGGAACGCTGGGTCTTCTTCTTGCCCGTTCGAACTTCAAAGCTCCGATGGTCGCTCGTGCTGGCGAGGTGGTTGGCTACGTACGCCAGGATCAAGCGATAGCTCTTGTCCTTTGACGACACCCGCAAGAAGGTCGAGTTGGCGACGTCAACTCCATCCAAAGCACATGCGTCGAAGGGAATGGCACGGGTCGTGGTTGCGCACATCATGGTGAATTCAATACTGCCACGACGTCCTGGTGTTCCGATCGTGTTTGGTACATGCAAGTGAGTTGGGTTGTCGAACTTCGAAGGTTGACATTCGGGTACCAACACAACCCGACGACATCGACAAACACCGACACATTCAACGACCCAACAGCATCGCCCTTCATCCACATATTCCACAAGCGCCACGAGCCATTTCAGCACGGCCACGTCGAGCGTCGCGAACAAGAACGATTGTTGCCGCTAGGGCAACTCGTGGGACCTGGCAATGGCACGTTCTAGCCGTGCAGCCAGTGGCGGAGCCTACATCAGAACAACTTACCACAAATTCTGGATTCAAGCTCCCCCTTTGAAGACCATGCTTCCAGCGCAGCCGCATCCATCAAATCCAAACGACCGCCGCCCTCCCCCGCCACACCATTCGAGGCTTGCGCTGCAAGTGATGGTGTTGACGTGACAACGCCGTGACTTCGAAATTCGATCGCCATTCAACTAACAGTTGCGATCCATTGTTTCATTTGACATGACCGCGCCTCCAGTCCACCAAGGCCCGTGTGGAGTTCTCCCTTTCGACCCGGCGGCCGTGGCGGGCTCGGACGTTGACATCGCTGCCTCGACCTATGCCATGGTGTCGTCATCGGACAAGAGCTACCGACTTGTCTTGGCGTACGTGGCCAACCACCTCTGCCACGTCGAAGGCCATCGCAGCGTTGACTACAACGCTGGCAAAAAGGTCAGTTCGACCAACTACCTGAACGAAAACGATGACGAAGATGCGTACAATGTGCTCTTGGCCGGCATTGGGCTGCACAAGTTCTCGTGGAAACACCACACGTTGCACTGTCTGCGGCAGGAAGAAGGCGACCCCGTGGGCACCAACTGCGACGCCGTGCAGAAGGAAAGCCTGTTGCTATTCGCCCCGAAAGTTGGGTCGGAGATGATTTTAAAAACCTTCATCGACGAGCTCGTCGCGGCCGCCGAAGCCACGAAGAAAGGGTACATTTGCATCTCGCGGTGGTCGACCGGGGGCGAGTACTGGGACGAAGGCAAAAAGTTCAAGGCGCGGCCCCTCGCGTCCGTGGTGCTGCCCCATCATATCAAGACCGACCTCCTCGCTGACATCGACGACTTTGTCAACGACGACAGCAAGGCATTTTACGCGACCCATGGCATCCCATACAAACGATCGTACTTGTTTTACGGCGTTCCCGGTGCGGGCAAGACGTCCCTCATCCAAGCGCTGGCCGGCCACTACGGCCGCAACGTGTACAATCTTCAGCCAACCCACCCCCACATGACGGATGACTCGCTGCAGACTGCGATGGAGCAGCTCCCAAAGAAGTCGATAGTTGTGCTCGAAGACATCGACGCGCTCTTCACCAAATCGCGCCGGAAAAAGGTGGCGAACTCCTCGCTCACTTTCTCGGGCCTGCTCAACGCACTCGACGGGGTCGGCGGTCACGACGGCCACATCGTGATCCTGACGACCAATTTCCGCGACCAGCTGGACGATGCCCTCATCCGCAACGGCCGCGTCGACGTCCACGTGCCGTTTTGCGACACCACGCCAGATCAGATGGCCGACATGTTCGTCACGTACTACCCCCACGAGCCATGCGAGCGAGGAAACGACTTTGCGCGTGCGCTCGAGGCTGCTCTTGGTCCGAACCGAAAGCTGTGCACGGCGGCCTTGCAGCACTACTTTGTGACGCAGCGTCGGAGCACGGCGGACGGCACGATTGCCAACGTTGGTCGCGTGGCCCACGAGATGGACCGACGAAACAATATGCAACGACTTGTTGGCGAAAACAAATAAAGACTGCGATGTAGTTTCTTCGGTGCTGTCATGCAGACGTGGTCAAGGAGCACGAAACGACGTTGTCGGCATTTGGAGCAGTCGCGTTGGCACTCGGCCATTGGAGTTGTGGGCGATCGCTTCACTGCACGACAAGCAACCAGAGGGTTTGCATTTTGAATATTTCCATGTCACAACGATGTCGATCAACACATGCAGTGGTGCGAATCAACTTGCAAATGAACTGCAAGATAAATATCTATTCTCCGAAAAGTGTTAAACATATTTATTGTCAATGGAATGTGCAAGTGGTGCCATATCTCAACAAGACATTGGCGCGTGCGACGCACTATGCGAAGCCAAGCGATCGCTACGAGGATCGGTCGCTTGCGGTTTGGTCCACATGTAGAGACAGTGTCGACTTCCCCATGCACGAAGCTCTCGGCCACGCACCAAACGACTTACGCACTCCGATCGTCGACATTGACTTATACAAACGAAGCGCTGCTAAGGTTGGCCCGTGGTCAGCATGCGATCTCGTTCGATGTAGATGCATGGTCACCCCCAATCCATTGCCCAGCAACGTTGAACAAACTCCTTTTCCCGTTCGCACCTGTCCCAGGCAGACCGCCAGCGACACGAGGACGAGTGGCGCAGATCATGGCGCCAGATCCGACGAGGCAAAGCATACACCAGCGAACCATGTGGCGAACTTCGTCGACCAGAGTACCTGTGTCATGCACACTACTTTGGCGACTTGTGCGTGCCTGCAGCCAGCACTGACCAAATAGAGAGGTTTTGGTACAATTCCAGTCCCTATCCAGACCACACAATTTGGACATTTGTCGTTCAACAGACCGTGACTGGAAACAGGAAAAAGCGGTTTTGGTGGATCCAGTACTTGTCCAGTCATTTTT